TTTCATTCAAAGCGGATCTCAGATAATGTGCCGCAAATTATTTCCACACTAAGTTTTTTGTGCAAATAATACGTCCTGCTAGTGTTTTTGTAATAAAATGCATGTTATTAATTGATTTCGAATTTTCGTTGCATCTTGATATTGCTGCCAAAGATATTCAATCAACAATAGTATCTTTTACTACGTTTATGTGTGTGGATACATAGACCATTTCTCCGTGTACTAGAAAAATTTGATATATGATTTATCCACTTTTGAAGTAAAAAAATAATAGTTAGGAGTGTTATACGATTTTATAATACAAGTAAAAAATATATATAAAGCTCTGGAAAGTGCTAACACATATTTATGGAATATTATGGATGGTAATTTATGAAATATTATGGATGGATGAGTAAATGGAATATTATGTGCATGCTATATATGTATACACATATCATCAAGTATAAAATCATTTATATATAATTTTTATGAAATTACCGAAATGCTTAAAAATCTAGTATTTTTAAAAACTGTTTTCTTCCGCAGAATAACGGCAAATTATGAAACATTACGCAACATTGAAAAGCGTGATGAACAAATTTTGCGAAAAGAAATAGCGACTGCTGCACGTATCTCACAGATATCTTTCATTCAACACAAAAGTGGAAAAGTTCTATTCCTGTTCAAAACATACCCTGCAGTCTGAGTCACAGACGGAAGAAATGACAGCAGGTCTTTTGTTCAACTGAGGGGAAGTGTTTTTTATGGCTTACTCACTTTCCCGCCAAACGAGTACAGAGGAAGGAAGCTTCGTTGCCATAGTAACCAGGCTGTAGGTAGTCTTACAGATTTGAGTCTTTATCGCTCAACGTTTGTAGCGCTATCTGTTATTAAAAATCAACATGAGAAAGGGGTATTAAACGCTCTTAAAGAAAGATTATAACTGACCTTAACAAGTAGAAATAACTTCTAAAATTGAGCAGTCAGTTACAAATAATTAACTTACATAGTTAGATATCCTTAGTCATAACAGATTTATATGGTTACTATTACTTTTTTTTTAATTTCTAAAATATATCTATTGGAAAAGCATTACAAACATTTCACAGCAGATATGATTTATGATATTAGTATACATTAAAAACATTTATGCTTTGTAGCAACAAGAAAATATTTATACACCTTTTTTATTTAAAAATGTTCCACACATTTTAGCTAATTTACATGAATTTCCTTCTCTTTAGCTTCTTTTCTAAGTTAATTGGTTTCAATATACAAATCAATATTCCCACTAGTCTCTTCTTCATTGTCTAATTTATTAATGTTTCAACAATGCACCTTTGGAGAATAATTCTCTCTGTCTTCACAAAATAAATTTTTTTCTTCAATGAGTTTCCTCTTCATTTCAGAATTTTCAAATTTAATTAAGATCTCTGTTTTCTAAAGAACTGCTTGTAATTAGAGTGCATAACATAAGGGACGGCACCAAAGACAGTACGGCAGAGTTTTTATGATTTAGGCATTCACTGAGTTATGTATGGTACACTGAGACTTATAAGATGAATCTTTTAATAAATTGTTATTTTTTAATATCTTGGCTTGCTTCAATACTTGTATCTAGTGAAAAGATAAAGAAACATAGGGAAAATAAACCTATTAAGAGAAAGACTTCTTGGATCAAAAGTAGAAAATTTAAATAATTCTGTTTACACTGTTCTATCAGAAATTTCAAAATAAAGGGTGATAACAGGCCAATTTTTCAGTAATCTTTCCAGACCTTGACTGCAAGAAGCACATTACTTACTGTGAATAATTAAAATCAAAATTAAATACTGAACTAAAACTGTCATATTCACTTTGCAATATTTGGAGGTTAGAAATTCAAAATTACACTTTTTGTCACTTCTAGCCCAGGGATGGGTTTGAAGTTACATTTATTAGCTGTTGAAATAAAATACAAATATTTTTGCAAATTTATTTTATTTCATCATAATATCTATGAAAAACCTGTCTGGTAGCAACAATAACTATACACATTTTACTATGAACATTCTTTTTAACCTCCGACTTTATCATGTAAATAGTATTAACTATTCAACACAATATAGGCATTTCATATACTGTTTACCGATTATATGCATTATGCAGCAAGTAATAAGATGAAATGTGAACTTTCTTAAGGAGTAAGATGATAAAAAAATATGAAGACATAGATGGCACTGGTTATAATTTTTATTAAGATATAATTTCACTGAATAATGAACACAATATAGCAATGTAAGGAAGGAACGGAAACCAATGTTCAATAAAGATTTTGGTTAGCAAATTTTAATGTCATTATTGGGTGAAAGATTTTTTTTGCATTATGTAGGTACATGAGCATTATATGAAAATCATACGACAGCAATTAATTTGGAAATGATAGAGTTCAAAGAGATTTATTATAAACATGTTACTGTTTTCTAAGATAGAAAGGGGATATAACCAAATTTAAATTGAGATTTGAGGGGTCGTTACGAATTCATTAGAATTTTGCTTTATATATTCTATACGCATGGATGCTAACTGCCAGATAATGGAATACCACATTTATAAAAAAAACTGAGCAACAAAAATATCTTTGTACATTGGAATTTCCTTATTTCTCTCATACTGGATGCCTCTTCAAGTTTAATTTTTTTCCTACTTTACTTTCTCTGAAAGTTAAGCCGAATTATATCTACAATAGATACTTGTAAAATTCCAAGTGCAAAACTAGAATAGAACATAATTACAATGTTTTATGTGGTAAAATCCTAGTATACAGTGCAGCCTTGGCACGACTTTGAAAATTACCCAACAAAAAATGGTTAAAGGACGGCGAGAGATAGACATACAACATATATGATATACCACAGAGTATATATACGATATACATAGTATATACTAGTTAAATATAGTTTTTCTTTTAACGACCTTTAATACTATCGCACAGTCCCGTTTTTACTGCTCATCATAAAGTCAAAAGTAGCCAAATCCGTGGAACCGGATACTAAGATAACCTTGGTAAAATCTAGTATCGGTGCACCTTGGCGTGATTTTGAAATTATCGCCAACACCAAATGACCAAGAAAGTCTATGTATCATACTATACACCATATATATGTATAATATATATATTCTTGAATACCCGTTAAAATCATGTATATGCCCGTTTTACTGCTCATCATAAAAGTAGCCAAATCCCGTGTGCACCGGATACTAGGATTAAACCAAACCTTTTATTTTTACAATTATATGTAATTAAAGAGTCAGAAATCTTTTTATACTCACTGCATTATAAGTACAAATTATACTACTTTAGGGATGAAATGACAGAAACCTTTATAGAAATTTCCATAATAAATATTAATTTGATGCAAATTTTACCAATTAATTTGGTAAACAATTAAAACCAATTTTTTGGATACAAGAATAATTAATAGGCTAATAATTTACACTATTATTAAAATGCAAGTTGAATACCAAATTTTAGAAATGTCGAAATATCTTTCTATCAAATGATAATGGAACTGAAAAAAACTTTTATCTAAATACTCATCCAACTACAATTTCTAAATAAATCGAAATATGAGAAATCCTGCATAACACATTGAACGGCCTACGAAATGAAAAATCAAAATAGGAATATGATAATTTTACGAGAAAGTCACATTACTGGAAAGCCGATTAGTAAGAGAACAAGACGAAAAGTTTTCAATACAGAGTACACTTTTTTTATATGATCATTATATATACGCATATATACAAAGAAACTTTCAACAAACATGTTTTTTAAAGGATCATTAAAGCAAAAAAAATCAGCAAAATAATACTCACATTTCAACATTCCGGCAGAATTATGTCCACAATAGATGAAATCGTAACACAATTCTCCTATATATGTATACCACTTACTTTGCAATTATATTCTCTAACAATCACCTATTTTCCACAATATCGCGAATTCTATAATAAAAATGATCACTAAGTCTGTACATTTATTCTTGAATACAAAAATTTCCGTTAAAAGGCAATACCGTTTGACATAACAAAACGAATAAAAAATACAAACACCACAAACGCGCTTAAACGGCTTGATGCCAAATATAAAAAATTAATAAATGATTTTATGGAAAATATCCTCCGACCAATATATAAAAGGTATAAGAATTTCTAGCTTTCTTGTTGCATGAGAAACCTGCTGTATTTTTTAAATTTTACTTCTATTTAAATTTTAATATTTTTTAGCTCTGTTTCTCGAGTTCATATATGATGGCAAAGGGAAAGAGTGCTATCTGCTTTGAGCTGAGAAGCTTTCGTAAAAGATCATAAAATATTTTATATCGAGTCGTTTTTTATTAAGATTTAAAATTAAGAGAACTTCCTGATCTTTCAACACTTGCCTGTGTTTTAGAGTTGTATCAGAATATGTACAAAATACAATATAGCATTGTGGTGAATTCCAACACGTCGGCGATTTTATTTGTTAGAAGAGTTAAAAAAGATTTCACTTAAAGCTGTCTTGAAAACTGTCCTTAAATTTTGCAGTCGAACGGTAAAGTTACAGATTATATTTACGGGTTATGTTATCTGAATACCAAAAAGAACACCAAGTGTATTTAAGGGAAGAGATGATTTCGAAGAGGAATTTCTGATAGCGAGCCAGTAATTGCTCATATTCATGTTACACAAATGGGAAAACTACGGAAATCAACCGATATTTTTATGTGATAACATAGATTTAGTTAAACAGCTTTGAGGCTTGGATTTATAGTGCGTGAAAATCTTCAAAACTTAAATAAAAAAAATTACTATATCTCAGATAAGTTGCTTTCTTGAAACTATAGGGCATCAGCCTAGGCCAAAGAATATGTATTCCCTCTTCTTTCTCCCTTTTCCCTGTCTAGTGCCGTAGAAAACAAATTGGTTTACATTACGTCTATGGAGCTTTTCCTTCTTTACAAAGACATTCTTTGCCTAGGCATCCAGGTGGATCGCATGAAATTCAAGCTGTGTGGAATCTCCGCTTTCATTATAAGAGTGGGATTGTTTATTTGTTCAGTTGTTGGCTGGTGTCCAATTTGTCAGCGCTACGATACGTGTAATAACTGTTACGAATAATTTTCATCATTTTCCTTTCCGACTTAAGATTTTAATTATTTATTTATTGATTGAAAGTTTCGCCGTCTTCTTAATTGATTACATTTTATTCATAAATGTATTTTCAAAGAAAAAATCTATTTACAAGCTTACTCACGTAGAAACAAAGTAAATTATTCATTAGTTAAACAGCTATGTGACAAATTTTTTTAGGTATATTTATTCCCACTTTCAGAGAAGTTCATGAATGTTTTTCACATTTTTTCGTTACCCCGGCTAGATGGCCAGAGAATGTGTTTACATGTTCAGTTCAAGAATGTTGCAGGGAAGAATTTTAGTATTGATTGCTCTTATTACTTTGATTACTTTTGGTGTATTATATAATCACTTTGAATCCCAAATATCTGAACTTGATGAGGCTAGAAGAAAACTAGGTGAGTCTCTACGTTCGCATAATCTGATTAAACCACCTGTGGCTCATCTGAAGTCTTGCGCTTAGAAAATGTGTACTGTTTTGTAATTTAAATCTAGCAGTACTATTTGTTTTATAATGAAAATTAATTAAAGGTTTTTACTTGTAGCTAAAGATGTATTCATTGATCTTTGATAAAAGTTCGGCCTGCTATTTTACATATATGTACTAATCAAGTTTTTAGTTTTATTTAATATTAAATAATTCTATAAAAAAATCCAGTTTGATTTGTGATTAAAACTCAATCCAAATTTTATATGTGTCTGAAATATCAAAACACATATTTAAATGTACTTTTTTTACAGAATTGTTGCTTTTTGATATATGTTAATCCTGCACAGCGTATCATTGAGCTCTAAATATGATATATAATGTTTAGTAATAGACATAAGTAATGCATATAAAATGCTAAGAGACTATCATCAACTGTTAAAGGTTAATTGCCATCTTTAACTCTTTCGCATCGAGAGACGACCAAATCTGTTTTCATCAAACATCGAAAACGCCCGTGTTTACGAATTTGTTGGATGTTTTCCTTTCCCCCTGCCTGGGTAGATACTACAGCATTGACAATAACCTATTAAGTGAAATGACTGTTTCTCTCGGGGGGTTTTTCAGCGGTTTCATCCATTGTTGCAGTTTCACCCTAGAGCCGGATTGCACCTGCGAACGTTAATAGCTTTCCATATGTCTCCTTTAGTTGCTTCAAAAGAATGATTGATATGTCTCTAAACAACTCGAGAAACCAATGAGCCATACACTAACGTGGAGGGGGAAAGCACTAGGTGCAAAATAAACGAGGCGTTGGAGCAGTTTGCTGTTGCCTGAATGAACGGGTGTTACGGGCGACTTCAATGCGAAAGAGTTAAGCTATGCCATTTTGGCTGAAAGGGCTTCTGTGCTGCACTGCCCTATCCCTATCTAGTGCTGGAGTCTCTTTTTTAATCTAAGGAACAATAAGAAATTTTTTAATGTAAAGAACAATAAGCAAGTTGTTCAATGAGTAGCAATAAAATGTAGGTTAATAGTGATAGTGCTTAATATTTTATCTGTGTACCTATCAATATTATTGAAAATGACTTGTAACATCTATTTTTACTGATATTCTGTGAATGTCATATTAGTTCATTTTAGAATCTCTGATATATTTTAAAGTGTCCGAAGGAAACTTTTAAAATAAGAGAGCTTTTGTGTTCAAAAGATAATTTTGAATAATCTTGTACAGTCAAAAGTCGTTAATCCGGACTCGTCGGGACTTCGGCGATTCCGGATTATGGATCATCAGTTTAAATCTCGTAAGATGGCATGCAGAAATTCTAAAATTAAAAATATGAAATCTTAATTTATGAAATAAAGAACAGTTATAATCTAAAAGGGTATCAAAATTACAAAAAAGCTTAATATTTTTTGTTTACTTTATTAAAAATTTCTTTCAATGTAAGTTAATTTTAAGTTGCTTCGTTTTATGTGATATACTTTCTCTTTAATTCTATAAACAGACACAATTTTTCTTGTTCAGTACAAAGTTCCTGTTCAAGTCCGTTAATTGTTGGCCGAGAAATACGACTAACTTGTCAATCGAAATTTTTTGTTTTCACTAACCTCTGTCACATTCTTCATGTCTTTATCCATTTTTGCAGCAATTCCACTTTTTGTTTGTTGACATCGAATACTTTCGTTTTGTACGATCCTTGGACGTCCAGAATGGGAAATTCTATTTGACATAATCGAAAGTTCAAGTTTACTTTTATAAAATTGCTCTTACAGTTGCAAAAATAATAAGCCAGATCCAATTCAAAGATAAGAAAACGCAATCTCAACATAACTGAAATAGATAATTAGATAATTTTAGATTATACCGTCCGTTATACATAAAACGCGCACGCGAAAACGTATTCTGCGCTTGCGCACGTGCATATGCGCAGTGGTAAAAGGTCTTGTGCACACGCTTAAATGCCTATGCGCATTTGTTGACGTGCCGCATGCGCAGAATGTTTTTAGCTTTGAGGTCCGGATTATGGATCATTCCGAATTATGGGTGTCCGAATTAACGACTTTTGACTGTAGTATGCAATCTACTACTTTTAGTTAGTTATTTTTTAGATGATGGCTTTAAAATTGATTGTTGTTTTAATCATTTTGTGGTAAAAATTGTGGTTGATCTTTACAATATGGTAACTGGTAGTTTGGCGACATTTTGGAGGCAATAAAGGTTACTACCTGGGACTTTGGTAATAATGTGAGGCAGTACTCAGTTCCGATTACGCATTATTTTGTGTGAGGGAAATGAAGATCATGGGATATGTCATGTGATATTAATGGACGAATTACGGTTCTTTAATCGGAAAAGGGGGGAAATCGGGAAAAAATCTGGAAATTTTTGTATTTGGTTTTTATTCTGTGTTGTGTGAAACAGTGTTCGTGAATTTTTGGATCCCATGGCCGTAACTAAAGTGAATTCGAAATGGGTATTTATATGTATTAATTTAATGTATGTGCTCATTTTATATTTTAAGTAGTGTTTTGAATTTAATTATATTTTTAATTAAATGATAGTTTATTTTGTGAATTTTATGTTTGTAGGAATTTGGTATACGTTTTAGTTGAAGTAAACGTGCATGGAAATAATTTAAATATCTGACACTAAGTATTTGGTTGCGGTACGAATTCGTTGGTGACGTGTATAATGTAATAGATGATTTAGAGGTAAAATTTTTTGGATATTTTATTTATTTTATATGTGGAAATGTTCATATTTGGAAAGGGTAAATACTTTTTCGCGATCAGGTAATTTCATATATGTTCTTTTTACCGGGTTTAAAGATGAAGAAAATTGTCATGTATTTTCGTGAAATTTTTCTAATTTATGAGAAAAAAGCAGTGTACATGGATATAGTGAAGAGTGTGCGCAATGCCATTTTTGTGCAATTTGGGATGTTTTTTTAAGTAAAAATAAGTCGGCGTTGTACATGGTTTATGTGTATGTGTTATTTGAAAAACGCGTAAGGAGTATGGTATTGTGCACTTTTTCCCAATTTTGCAGTGAATATTTGTCATGATTAAGCAGTTTTGTTAGATAAAATTTCTAGCATAAGTGTAATTCGGTTAGTAGATTGTTGGAAGAAGTGTTCAGTAGATAAAAAGAAAAGAAACATGTCTTTAGTTGGTGAAGACAAAATGGCGGCGGGAAAAAAAAATAGAGGGTTGCTGTAGGAGAGTTGGTCACCAAATTTTCGCCAAAAAAACGCCAAGTTACCATAATGTAAAGATCAACCAAAATTGACTCTATGATATTCCTTGGCTAATAGTTTCCTTTTTGACGCCAAGATTGGTGCCAGGAAGGATCGGCAGCAGTTTCAAGATAGCTGCTGCTCAAAACCAAAATAAGAAGTCAAAGACTTACACAAACTCACTGTCCATGTACACATGGACCTATTTTCACTTAAGAAAACATCAGAGAATTGCATAAACTAGGCATTGCACATTTCTTTAACTTTGTCCATGTACACATCAAATCTATTTTCACTTAAAAAACAGGGAAAGTGCAGAATCACCTACTGCTTGGCGTGTTTTTAAGAATTGCACAAACTCGGTATTCACGTACACATCCACCTATTTTCTCGTAAAAAAAATCAGAGAATTGCACAAACTCGACATTGTGCACTCCCTTGATTTTGTCCATGTACATATCAATCTATTTTCACTTTAAAAGTCAAAGAAAATTGACAAAAATCCAAGTCTTCTTGCTTTTGTAAAAAGCGCCAAACAAAATGCACCAAATAAGTGGGCAATTTTGCACTTCATCCAAAAAACATCAGAGAATTGCAGAAACTAGGCATTGCGCACTGCCTTAATTTTGTATCATTGAGTCTTACTGCCTTAACTTTGTAACATAGGTCTATTTTCACTTGAACAAAATCAGGAAGCTAAAACAAAGTTAAGACTATCATGGTAACCAGAAAAATTCGTTGCTGTCTTATTACACAGAGGCGAATAAATAACCAAAAATACACAAACAGAGAGGAATAAATAACCAAAAAATACATATTTCCTTAACATAAAAACATTAAATAATAAATCTTTTAAAAAATTAACACAGAGAGATGAATAAATAAAAAATATCAAATTTTTTAACGTACTTTTTTTTTCACATGCGTTAGGCTTCCCACCACCACCTCCTCCATCCTCCAGGTAATTCAATTAAATTTTTCTTCGTTTGGGTCATCTGCTGTTAATCAACATTCATCCTCTTACCCACCTCAGACATACTCAAATGATGGTACCCACAGCAAAATAATAGCAAGCTCAAAATCCAAGACCATGCCATATTAAGAACCAAAACCCTGGGTCCCTATGAAAGGGTTACTACAGTCAAAAGTCTTTAATCCGGACTCGTCGGGACTTCGGCGATTCCGGACTATCGGTTTTTCTGGATTATAGATCATCCGTTTAAATCTGGTAAGATGGCATGCAGAAATTATAAAATTAAAAATATGAAACCATAATTTATGATCTAAAGGGTATCAAAATTTTCAAAAAATAAGCTTAATATTTATTTGTTTACTTTGTTAAACATTTCTTTCAACAGGTGCATGCGTAAAGCATACATTACGCATAGTCGAAGGAAATTGCAACCAGAAAACTATTTAATGAGTACTCGTGATATTTATAATGACGAGGAATTTGATTTAAATCATATCAAAGATGGAGTATATCGAGATGAAATACTACATTTAGTAAGGAATTATAAGCCAAATAAAATAAAAACATCTGCCCTGAAGATAAGGATAGCACTGACAGATCAACTTCCAATTCATTGCATGCCGCGACGTACCCCTCCCCCCACGCAGATCAGCATGAAATTGATAAACAGATTTCGGAATGGTTAGAGAAACAAAGGATATGCCTTTATCCAGAGGCGTAGCTAGGGTTTTCGCCGCCCGGGGACAAGTGACGATTTTGCGCCCCTTTCTCTGTGCCAAGAATGGAAAACATTTTATTCTAAAATTTCATAACATCAGTTTGGCGTCCCCTGAATGCTGAGCATGGGGACAGATGTCCCCCCTTGCCTCACCCTAACTACGACACTGCCTTTATCCATTTTTTGCAGCAATTCCACTTTTTGACATAATCGAAAGTTCAAGTTTACTTTTATAAAATTGCTCTAACAGTCTGCAAAAAATAATAAGCCGTATCCAATTAGAAGATTAAGGAACAACGGAATCTGCATTATTAACTGAAATAGATAAGTAGATAATTTTAGCTTATCTTATACCATCCGTTATACATTAAACGCGCATGTGTAAACGCATAATGTTTACGCATGCACAGAAAGTTTGTAGCTCTGAGATCTGGATTATAGATCATTCCGAATTAAAGACTTTTGACTGTATTACAAAAAAAGCGCAGCGGGCTTCCAGATTTCATGAACAGCCAATACAGCTTGTCGATTTTTTTCAGAAAAAAACCAAGGGCTACCGTTCAGTAAAGATTAGCCCATTTCTTTTTTCTGCCATTTTATTGCACGTTCAAATTTGAAAATAGCATTTTAAGAGTGCTATTCAAGAAATAACTAACCAAAAATAGTAGATTGCAAACTAAATGATTGCTGAATTTTATTTCATCATTAGTATTTTTATTGAATAATAGAATTTAAGTGATTGTAGAATATATTTAATATTTTGTAATTGAACAATAATGTATTATAAACCAAGCAAGTTTATAGCTTTGATTGTAGAAGCTGATGGAAAATAATGAAATTAATTTTATAAATTACATTAGCATCTGTAAGTTGTTGAAATTGTATTCTGTTAATATTAAAAATGTTTGATTTATAAACTTTCCTTTCTCATTTTCAATTTTAATTCATATTATAAATCGATGTATTTGATATTTGTACAAGACTGATTTATGATTGTAATGTATATAAACGTGTGTGATTCATCATAAAAATTTTTAATTTGCAGTGCTGATCAAAAATTATTATTTGAGAATTCATAAAAAATATATAAGTTGGGTGAAATCCTAGGAGAGCCCACACCCTTGGCGACAAACTGGGAAAGGGCAGAATCGCCAACTTGAAAATAACAAGTCAAAAAATTGCACAAACTCGGTATCCATGTACACATCGAACTATTTTCACTTAAAAAAAACATCTCAAAATTGCACAAACTTGGCATTGCACATTCCCATGATTTGTCCATGTACACATCGATTCGTGCCAAGGGTGTGGTCTCTGCTAAGATCCAACCATAAGTTGTTATATGAAATGCAGTTTGCTTCAGAATTTACATCATGATTTCAGTTTTTTTTTTTTTTTTTTTTTTTTTTTTTTTGCACCCCTCCCAAGAAAAATTTCATTGAGATGCATTATTTCATTAATTCCATTATCTTTCAACTCTTCAGATAACATTTAATGAAAGAAAGCTTTTGAATTGATTTGTTATGTTCTGTTTCATATTATGGGGAATGTGTCCTCTACCACAGGAAAGTAATACATTTTTAACTGCTGCAGATTCAAAAGATTTTAGGGGAAAAAAAAAAATATGAAGGTGCTTTGAAATGTTTTTGTTTTTAATTTAAAAATCTAAATATGGAAGATGGAGAGAACATATCTGAAGATTAAGAAATTTCACTGCTGTTTAAAGCAATAGGTTCAACCCCTTGCTTAAGCCTTGATCAACCCCTTGCCCAACCCCTAAAAAACGTTGATAACCGAATGAATATGTATCAACAATTGATCAGCATAATCAATATCTCATTGATTACAAAAATTATTAATCAAATTGATAATTGTTTATTAAAGTAATTCTAAAAGAAATCATAAAAAATAAATTTAAGAGAAATATACTGAAAATAATTTAACATATTTTTAAAGCATATAAATTTTTTAAGCAATAAGTAAAACTCGGGAACACAAGAAAACACAATCCAAAATTACAAAGAAAGCAAAACCAGTGAACCACAACAAACTTTTGTGTCTATTATTTCAGCCATGCTGGTCATCAAGATTTGATAATAGAAGTTACACGAATAAAGTATCACTTCTGCATTGTGGTCAAATGACAGTACATCATCATTATGTAAGTGTACTCTTTATATTTGACAAGAACACTACAAGCTAACTTTTGCTTTCTTCCAATTATATGCTCTATGATATTGTATGCTCTGTATTATACAGCAGGGGCCAGCAACCTTGTAGCTATGGTGTGCCAGACTAGTCTACCAGTACGATTTATACCTCGCAGTAGGAAATATTTGAAATAACTCGATTCCTGCAGCAGTGAATGCAGAGTTGGAACAAAGGACAAGAATACAGATTTAGAGTTTTATTATATATCAGTGATGCTTCATTTAAAGATATTTATTAACATAAAAATAAACAGCATAAATAGAAAATTAAAATTGTACATATATTATGTATCTTTTAAACATATTTATTAAAATAAAAAATAAGTGACATAAAAATATAAATATTCCTTCAATATAGTTAAATAGAAAATTAAAATTTTAATGTGAACTTTGTCCCTGTACCACTGTATTTAATATCGCAATATCAGGGGTATAATTTGAGACTTTCAGTTTGACTTATAATTCAGAATACTTAGTTGTTAAACAACTTCTTTGTGGACTCGAAATATTTTTCTTATGAAAAAAGATTTGTTCATATAGATATGTGAAACCAAAAGTGCAAAGCAGAGCACATGCAATTTTCTTCAATCAATTAAATCTCTCCAGCAATGACTTTCAGCAATTTAAACTAGCTATTGATTTATCATTAGAGTTATCTTCCAGATGTTTTTGTTATTCCTTAATTCTGAAGATGTTAGTTCAATAAGTTCCATTTCAAAATTATCAACTTCCGAACTCGAAAGGTTAATGGTCCTCAATGCTAATGGGTCTGTTAAATTTGGTTTCATTATGAAGGAAAATATAGGTATACAAGCTTCTTTGTTTTTGGAAAATTCCTCCTTAAAGATTTCAACGTAGGTTTGAAGTCTGTTTTTATTCAAGGTCAATGTATTTATTTACAAGCTGTTTAAATTTGGGAAGTGTTTATAGGTACTGGTATTAATAGCACAGGAAAATATATTTAATTATGTAGCACAGCCTCTCCAATATTAAAAAAGTTCAAGCACTGTTTGGCTCTTTCCTTGTAATCTTTAGTTCATAGAGATGTTTAGTTATATCAGTGAGAAACATCGGTTTGCATAACCATTCTTTATTGAACATTTCGGGGAAATGTTGATTCATCTCGTTAAGAGAAACTTTAATGTGTTCCATGCATGACTCGGCTAAACCAATGGATATGGCTGTATAAGGGGAGATCCACATATTCGCTTTCCATTTTTTCTAAAAGAAATTGAAATTGCCTGTGTACCAATGAAGAACAAGATATCATGAAATCAACTATTTTAAAAACAATGTTCATTCTAGAAATTAAGTGCTGTGATGAAATTTTGGCAACTAAACTTTCCTGACGATGCAGAGAGGAGAAACAGGGTGATTGATAGCTTTATATAGTGGACATTGATAGCTTTATATAGTGGACAGGGTGGACATAGCTTTATATAGTGGCAGAGAGGAGAGACAGGGTGATTGATACCTTTGCTTGATAGCTTTATATAGTGGTGTAGAATGACACTAAGAATTGTTCTGCTTGCCATAAGTTGCCAACACCTGTTATAGAGAATAGTTTAAGGGGGTTGATGAAGAAAACAATTCTTTTGAAAGAGGCCGATACAAAAAAAGTTTGGGAATCCCTAGTTTTTTTAAAAAAATTACTATCAAATCAATTACTGTAAATTTATTCTTTTCTTTTTCTTATTTTACTCTAATATTACATTTGCTTCTTATTTTCAACTGCCATTAAATTAATAATATGACCATATATTTTCAAAATATATTCAATTTAAATTTTTGTATAATTTATTTTTATCATCAACAAAAAGTAAAATTAAATAAGGTTTTATTTCATGAATATTGATTGTTATAAAAAAGAATTTCTTGAACATTAAAATATTTGCTACTATATATTATTTTAATTTCATATTTCTTAGCAAGAAATAAAATCGTAGAGTTGTTTTGTTTTGCACTAATTTCTTTGTACTAACGTGTAATCAGTTCATAGTTATTTATATTCAATATTTCACCTTGTCATAAATATATATTTAACCCTTGCTTTGTTTTCTTCTTCCACAGCCTCTGTTGTATCACAAATTGAATGGAAGAATTTACCTACATCGCAAGTAAAAGCTCTACAGTTGTTAACAAAAGAAGAGAATTTTGACAATAGTGACGTGTTTGATGATAGTATTATTATCTACAATCGTGTGCCAAAAACAGGAAGCACCAGTTTCATGGGAATTGCATATGATCTGTGCACTCGCAATGGATTTAATGTTCTCCATATAAACACTACTAAAAATTCTCATGTTTTATCTCTTTCTGATCAGGTAAAATACTAATCTGAGTTAATTTATACAGTCAAAAGTCGTTAATTCGGACACCCATAATTCGGAATGATCTATAATCCGGACCTCAAAGCTAAAAACGTTCTGCGCATGCGCCGCGTTGACACATGCGCATAGGCGTTTACGCGTGCGCATAAGACTTCTTAGACTGCGCATTTGCGTGTGCGCAAGCGGAGAATACGTTTTCGCGTGCGCGTTTTATGTATAACAGACGGTGTAAGCTAAAATTATCTAATTATCTATTTCAGTTAATGTTGATGATTGCGTTGTTCCTTAATTTTCGAATTGTATCCGGCTTATTATTTTTTGCATCCTGTAAGAGCAATACTATAAAAGTAAACTTGAACTTTCGATTATGTCAAATAGAATTTTTGATTCTGGAGCTCCCAAAGGATCGTACAAAACGAAAGTATGTTTCGATGTCCATCAAACAAAAAGTGGAATTGCTGCAAAAAATGGATAAAGACATGAAGAATGTGACAGAGAGGTTAGTGAAAACGAAAAAATTTCGATTGACAAGTTAGTCGATATTCTCGGCACAGCAATTAACGGGACTTGAACAGCGGAACTTTGTAAGTGAACAAGAAATTATGTCTGTTTATAGAATTAAAGAGAATTTATTATCACATAAAACGAAGCAACTTAAACAACTTACATTGAAAGAAATGTTTAATAAAGTAAACAAATAAATATTAAGCTTTTTTTTTGTAAATTTTGATACCCTTTAGATCATAATTGTTCTTTATTTCATAAATTACAGTTTCATATTTTTAATTTTAGAATTTCTGCATGCCATCTTACGCGATTTAAACTGATGATCTATAATCCGGAAAAATCGATAATTCGGAATTGCCGAAGTCCCGACGAGTCCGGATTAACGACTTTTGACTGTAGTGATGTTAACTTTTGTAATTTGTTATCAAAATTTAAACTGTGAATGAATACAAGTGATAATCGGCATATTTTAAAATCTTTTTTAATCTTAAAAAAGTACAAGTCATCTGTGGTAAATATAAACTCTTGAAAGCTTAATAATCATTTGTAAACCTATGAAATATTTTGTAATGTCAAAACAAAATCAGTTTTATTTGGCTGTAAAATTACATTTACTATTTAAGAACAGACTCTTTGTAGTAGTAAATTGATTTTTTTAATAAATCGAATTAGGAAAAATAAAATTTTAGGGGAACAAATTTTTTTTTTATGTTTAATAAATAATAAGTGTTAAAATTGGGAAGACTGATAATTGTATTGCTTTGACTATAAAATATTTTTCCTTCTGCCTGCCATACATGGGCAGTGTAATTCTTAAAAAATGCATTAACATAATTTGTCATGACTTATTTCATTACTTTTAAACATATTTTTCGTGATTTTATCTCAAACTATGCTATTTAAACAACCATTTTTTTTTAAATCGCTTTCAACATAGCTAGTTTTTGCATGTGCCATAATCTTATATGCAATTTTTATCCTTCCCTCATAAAATTCAGAAATTCAGGGCTGTTTTTTGCATCAAATGTCTCACAACTTGTCTCCTCTTCTGTGTGAGCTCTACTTAATAAGAAAGCAAGTGATGTCTCGTAAACTAGTTCTCAGTTCTTATTCTAACCTTATCTGGCTATTTTTGACATGATACATATCTTCCATTCTACTGCTCACTAATGATTACGAAATTCCTTTTACATACTCAGTAAATAATCCTCTGGCTCCTAAAAAATAATGAATTTTGATGAAACATCAATAGTTCAGTTTATTTTGCAAACAGAAGCTTTCACGTCCCAAAATAAGAAAAGGCAAGAACAGAGAAGCAGCAATGCCCATTGTAACAAACTCTGTGAATCCTATTCACAGCCCCCTAAGGAATTCTATTTGGGGAGTGCTAGTAATTTAACCTGGTGAGATGTTCACAAAAAATGCCCTTGCTCTTTTTTAACTCTAGTCGGGAGAATGCTTACAATAAGAACTAAAAATAATATTTATCTGCCAAAAATTAATTTCCTTTACGCTAGTCAACAAACAATTTTAATTAAAGTTAGACTTTAATTAAAATTGAAACACAATTTTAATTGCCACACAGCACCATAAAATCTATAGCTGGTCATAAATTATACCAAGGATTTTAAAAAATATCTGCAGACATGTTCTCTTGAGATCTTGCAGTGCTCTAGAGAGCACATCATATGTTAAGATATTTAAAAAATCCCTGAATAGTCTTGCCAATGTTCAGAAAAACTAGTACAGTACAAAGTCCGTAATCCAGACTCGTCGGGACTTCGGCGATTCCAGATTAGGGTTTTTTCTGGATTATAGACCATCAATTTAAATCTGGTAAGATGGCATTCAGAAATTATACTATTAAAAATATGAAACCATAATTTATGAAATAAAAAGCAATTATAATCTAAAGGGTATCAAATTTTACCAAAAAAAGCTTAATATTTCTTTGTTTACTTCATTAAACATTTCTTTCAACGCGCGCATGCGTAAAGCATAAGCGGGTAATGCATGCATAATGTATGCACATTCTCTACGCGCATGCATAAAGTTTGTGGCTTTGAGGTTCGGATTATAGATCATTCCAGATAATGGATGTCCAGATTCAGACTTTGTACTGTATAGATTTTAAAAGACTACTTTATATCTGCATTCCAATGTATGCAGCACTTTGATATCCATTAGCTTAATAATGGATGTAGTGTTTTCTGGAAAGGATAAGATGAAGATGTTATTTTTTAATGAAACTTCAAGTGAAGCTTGAGCTAAACTGTTGTTTATAACCATTCACCATCCAGTAAAGCAATTTATTTCAAATGTTGTCAAACCTCAGGTGATAAGGATTTTTAAATCTATCATTTATTTATATTTATGTCATCCATGCTGTTTGATTTGAATGACAGATAAGTAGAAAATCTTTACTCCTTGAAATGCCCTAGCTCATATACTCCCCCCACCCCCAGTTACTAAAAGTTGATACAATCAAAAGTCGTTAATTCGAACACCCATAATCCGGAATGATCTATAATCCGGACCTCAAAGCAACAAACTTTCTGTGCACGTGTCTCTTTGACGCATGAGCGTAAGACCTTTACGGCTGCGAATATGCGAGTGCGCAAAATACGTTTACAAATGCACTTTTAATGTATAACGGACAGTATAAGCTAAGCTAAAATTATCTAATTCAGTTAATGTTGCAGATTGCGTTGTTCCTTAATCTTCGAATTGGATTCGGCTTATTATTTTTTGCAGACTGTTAGAGCAATTTTATAAAAGTAAGCTTCAACTTTCGATTATGTCAAATAGAATTTCTGATATATATTTACTAATATGTAAAGGATCTACAAAGCGAAAGTATGTTTCGAAGGCTATTAAACAAAAAGTGGAATTGCTGCAAAAAATGGATAAAGGCATATCCTTTGTTTATCTAAACTTTAACGTTTGTTTATCTAAACTTTGTTTATCTTTAACGCCGCAGCGTGCTATGAATTGGAAGTTGATCTGTCAGCACTATCCTTATCTTTAGGGCAGATGTTTTTTATTTTATTTGGCTTATAATTCCTTACTAAATGTAGTATTTCATTTCGATGTACTCCGTCTTTGATATGATTTAAATCAAATTCCTCGTCATTATAATTCGCTTCCGAAAGCGAAGAAAGTGACAGAAGTTATTGAAAACGAAAAAATTTCGATTGACAAATTAGTCGGTATTCTCGACACAGCAATTATAGGACTTGAACAGCGGAACTTTGTAACTCAACAAGAAATTATGTCTGTTTATAGAATTAAAGAGAATGTATTATCACATAAAAAACAAAGCAACTTAAACAACTTACATTGAAAGAAATGTTTAATAAAGTAAACAAATAAATATTAAGCTTTTTTTTTTTTTTTTTGTAAATTTTGATACTCTTTAGATCATAATTGTTCTTTATTTCATAAATAACGGTTTTATTTTTTAATTTTAGAATTTCTGCATGCCATCTTACGCGATTTAAACTGATGATCTATAATCCGGAAAAATCGATAATTCGGAATCGCCGAAGTCCCGACGAGTCCGGATTAACGACTTTTGACTGTAGTGATGTTAACTTTTGTAATTTGTTATCAAAATTTAAACTGTGAATGAATACAAGTGATAATCGGCATATTTTTTAAAATTTTTTATCTTAAAAAAGTACAAGTCATCTGTGGTAAATATAAACTCTTGAAAGCTTAATAATCATTTGTAAACCTATGAAACATTTTGTAATGTCAAAACAAAATCAGTTTTATTTGGCTGTAAAATTACATTTACTATTTAAGAAAGACTCTTTGTAGTAGTAAATTGGTTTTTTTAATAAATTGAATTAGGAAAAATAAAATTTTAGGGGAACAATTTTTTTTTTATGTTTAATAAATAATAAGTGTTAAAATTGGGAAGACTGATAATTGTATTGCTTTGACTATAAAATATTTTTCCTTCTGCCTGCCATACATGGGCAGTGTAATTCTTAAAACATGTATTAACATAATTTGTCATGACTTATTTCATTACTTTTAAACATATTTTTCGTGATTTTATCTCAAACTATGCTATTTAAACAACCATTTTTTTTTTTTTTTTTAAATCGCTTTCAACATAGCTAGTTTTTGCATGTGCCATAATCTTATATGCAGTTTTTCTCCTTCCCTCATAAAATTCAAAAATTCAGGGCTGTTTTTTGCATCAAATGTCTCCACAACTTGTCTCCTCTTCTGTGTGAGCTCTACTTAATAAGAAAGCAAGCGATGTCTCGTAAACTAGTTCTCAGTTCTTATTCTAACCTTATCTGGCTATTTTTGACATGATACATATCTTCCATTCTTTACAGTTTGATTGCTTAAAACATGGAACACTTAATTGCCAGTAAATGTTATAAGCGCAAGATGCAAAATGTAATAAAAATTAACACAAAACTAACAAATATGTTCCCGAGAATTTTGTGCAAGGAAAAAATTAACATCATCAATTAAAAGAAAAAAGGTTCCTTTCTGTTTCGCCAGGGCAAATCTCTCTCGCCAAGCAAATTTTATTGGCGACAACATACAGTATACACATACAAAATGTTAACAAATGTTAGTTCTAAGATTTTTTTTATTTTGAAGGCATAAACATGTTAATATCGTTTAAAATTTTGTAAAAAGCCAATAAATAAAGACAATAAATTTGTAAAAAGACAATTTAAGAATTTACTATGCTTTCAACGTCCTGATTCGCCGTTTCATATCACGTGATCCCAAGTAATCTCATCTCGCACAAACTATGCTACAAAAATATAATTCTCTCAGTAATTATCTACATTAATTTTAAGTTAAATCTTGATTTGGAATGCAAGAGTTATTTCAAATCATGCGAATAGCTTACTCAGAAATTATGTAAAACCGCAGTGCTTGACTCATTAGAATTAATGAATTTAACCCTTGACTTTGCCTTTTCTATATTTTCACCTTCGGGTGAGCGGTGTGATTGTATGCTAATTGACTTAATTACCGAGAATACCTTAGGGCACAAAATTTAACTATCTGGCAAAAATTCTACCTAATTGTATGCAGTATTGAAAGAAACAGTCAATCTGATAAGAAATGGCTGCGACTTGTTTTGAAAATGAGGTGTAAAGGTTACCAGTGAGGATTTTCCTTTTGGCATCAGTTGTACCATACCATTATTGGAGATTTTATCACCTTTGCTGGCAAAACAGAAAAGTACAAAAAAAAAAAAAAAAAAAAAAAAAAATCCTACACACATACAGTGCAGATATATGCTTAGTCTAAGAGATCTGAAGTTGATATTGAAATGAAAAGAGGAGCCATCCTCACCTTCCTTTAACCAAAGGAGGGTAAGGAAGAAAATATCTCATCTTTTGTCAAGTCGAGAACAAATTCTAGAGTTGTCAGTACTTGCAGTAATCAGATTCATGGGTGGTATTGTTGCTATTGTATCAACAGGCCTTTAAACAAGTCATAGCATGTATATAAGCACTTTTTTGCTTACTTCTTTAAATGAAGCAACAAATTCCTGTAGAACTATAACACAGCTAGCTACATGTATGTCTCATAACTGTTTAGTTGCTGTTATCAGGTGACTCAGATTTCTTGTAACTTGATGATTTTTTGCTTCTATCTTTGTACAATCATACAGGTCTGTCATTCTTTTTGCAATTCAATCATTGTCTGTGCTGTATTCAAGATTTTCAAATAAGTTGGTAAAAGCATCTACTTTACCAACCAGATTGATGATATTGATTCTAAGCCGAGGGATGTTCTTTTTAAATCATGAAAAAGTAAGAAAAATTGGCCAGCAAATTGTGTAAATACAGTGTCATTTTGTAGTTATTTATATTTCTGAGGAAGAATTGTTTTATCATATTTTTTAAAGTAAAACTGATATTTTAAATTTGTAAAATGAATTTTGAAATTAATAAGTAGTTTTCAAAATGATGCACTATTTATTATATTTAGAATTTTTAAAATGCTCTTTCATATAAAGAATTGCAGGACTTTAAACTCATAGCATATTTTATCTAATATCAATGTCTTAAAGTTTTGATTTTATGCATATTTTCATATTATTACTTTAAGTTCATTATCATTGTTATATTCTGACTTATGCGAATATCATGGTTGTTTTATGAAACCAGGGGAAAAAACTTGAGGTTTAAAAGAGTATTTAGTTTTATGAATAAATAATTGTGAAACATTTTACTAAATTACAGCCAAAGTCTTTAAGTTTTTTGTATCATTTGCCATTTGCTTGATCTAAATTTATCTGCTTACCTATGTATTCTTTTTTTTTTTTTTTTCCTCTCTCTCTCTCTCTCTTTCTTTCTATACATATAATGATGTTTTTTAAATAAGGAGATAAGTTATAGTCATTTCCCATTGATAGCAAGATGATAAAAATTATGAGGTAAAGACCATAAGTTATCTTTAAATTTAAATCATATCATTATTTATTCTTAGCAGCAGTTATAAGTGCATTTTCAACACTTTATTGTATTTTGGTTTCTTATTTCTCTGATTTCTAATATTTTGGATGTTTTAATTTATTATATATACATGTTTTAGGCAAGATTTGTACATAATGTTTCTACATGGAGTGCAAAGAAACCTGGCTTGTATCATGGACATATTGCATTCTTAGATTTTTCTAGGTAATAAATTTAATTAAACATTGTATAATTTGCTATTCTTTACTATGTTTGTGTTAAATGGTGAAGTACTCAATAAATTTATAAACAGCCAGTGTTATTCAAAATGCTTTCCATGAAGTATTTATGTAAAACTTCATAAAAAAATGTATCACAGAAATTCTTAATGTAGAAATTTCTTACTTACAAATATTTTAAATGGCAATGATTAGTTTTTACTTATTTATTTTATGCTTTTCTGTGCGTGCATTGAAATATGTCTGCCATTTTATCCGAGTCTTGGATTTTTTATATGCACCGTTCAGGATTGTGTAGAGAAGTGAGTTGATTCCACTGTTGCTCAATAAATCGTTAAAAATTCAAAGGGATTCTTCAACATGTGTATTGAAAGAGAAAATGAGGTGCATTCCTTCCTTTCTTTAGGAGTTAATTTTTACTGGTGGCCATTTTATGTCCACCATATAGAAATTTTTAATTTATACTCTTTCTTACATATCTCGGAGGAAAATAATTAATTTACAATTTTTGTGTGTGAAACTGTATTTCATCACTTTTCAAAACTCTTAAAAATATGGGAGACATCTTAATTTTAAAATTTTTTTTAAATCTTTGACATCATTATTAATTCACTTCTACAGAACCTAGAAGCTGACATTTTCAGAGTAGGTGGGCATATACTGAAGTTGCTCTTTTCTAATATTTTTTAAACTGGTGGCCATATTAAATTGATTATATTGGAAATTTTATTTTTTTACTCTTCCTGTAGTATTTAAGAAATAAACCGCTTAATGATTTACAATTTTTTGTAAATGAAACCTTATGTAATGTGAACAAACTTTCACTGTGTTTAAAATTTGACGGCCATTTTGAGATTTATATTTCTGTTTAGCCGCCACCTTGAAATTTATAAGCCATCATGAAATTTATGCTTTTTGTTATTTGGGGAACAAAGCAGTGAATTGATTTTCTGTGTTTATGTTCATTACTTTATGAATTTTTCAAAATTCTGAAATTATGGCCACCACATAAAAATTAATAACCGTTTCAGGATTTGAGGGAAAAGCAATAGGCAGTAAGACTAAAAACAGTTAAAAAAAATCTGTAAACTTTCAGATTTTATATTTCTCCCAAAGGGGCATTTTTTAAATGTTTTGTGTGCTGCCTTTATTTTTAAATATCTTATTCTTCACACTTAAAGCATAAAATTCAATTCAACAGCAATGTCGCAAAATAATTTTAAAATGAGCATGTTTTTAGCATTTCCTATATACAGTCTTGTGCACTAGAGATAAAAATGTTTTTTTCCCCCCCCCCCTTACAGTGTTGTCATTCTTCGATTTGAAATCATTGAGTTTGTTAATAAAAAATTCTTTAATGTTTTAATGTCTGACAAAATATGAAATTGATAATAAAACAAGTTCCAACTTCGAGCTACCAGATGCCCATATTTGGTGAAGGATTACGTTATTCAAAGTTGGATGGCTCTAGTTATCATTGTTTTATCACAGTGCAAGAAATATAGATACATTTATGCAGATTCTTCATTATTTAATTTCTTTAAATATAATACAGGGCTCAGGGTTCGTAGCGGTCCTTATGTGCTTATAAGTCCTTATATTTGAAAATAAAATATAAAGGCCCTTATAGGTGCTTACTTTTTCTTTAAAGCCCTTATTTTTTTGTTTTTAGTGCTTATTTTTTTGCTTTTAGTGCTTTTTTTTTTTTTTTTTTTTTTAATGAACGCGCTATTTTTTCCCGTACCAAAGCCGAAACTAAATAAACAACTTTTCTTCCTAATATGGAATGTCAGATGGTGAATCATACTCCCGGAAATAGCTTTTTCCCCTTTCTCTGCATTAACATAACCTTTGGTGTGCACGAAGAGTACAGACAGGTGCCCGTCGTTCTATTGGTCAAAGAATTGCGAAAGCAGTAGAAAATTTCGGTACATTCGGCATTCTTTTCCTCCCACCCAAATACTACACACGTTTGAATTTCTATCCAGATCTTAATAATTTGCATTCTCGTTCCGCTTGGTCAGTTCATATTTGTGTTTATTATGATCATTATGCTTATATTATGAGTATATGTATGAATGTTTATAATAACATAGTTGCAGTAACTGCTGAAGTATAGTAAACTTCCAAAAATGGTTGTGTTTAACACAGATTAGCTTTTTAGGAATAATATTCGGAATGGCTTAAATAAAGGGAAAGTAATCGAATAGTCAAAATAATTTCATTTTTTTGGCCAATACATTATACAGTACGAAGATTGGGAGGTTCTCCCCTTTCTCCGCAAAATCTCGAATATTGAAACTGTTACAAGTTCGCTGCAAAACAAGCAACGGACCTTTTTTTTTTTTTTTTTTGTCACTTTCCAATCTGGATTGAATAGGACTAAAAGTTCTGCGGTCTACCAACCCAAGCGAAGAATGATTCTATTCCGGAAATTTAACGCCGTCTGTTGAAAATTAGAATGAAAAACACCCCAGTTACTTGTATTTAGTTCTTTATTCTCCCAATACCAGCAGCTGTTGATTCCGATTGCGTAATATCACGTAGGGAAGAATTACGGCACACGTATTGCGCAATAACGTTTGCGATATTTTGCAGAGATAATTAATTTTGATGTTCTGTCCGAGATTTGTTTATGAACACTTAAAAGAGTTTTACTGTGCTTGCTAAGCAGAATATTTTTCAGTTCCATTGGTTTATTTTTATATGATGCACATATCGAAATGTCAAAAGCATTTATTTAGCGGGAAAATCTAAAAAAGCGGCTACAGTCTACCCCCCTCCCTCCGCTCCTCTTTTTCAAGTTACGCTCGACTGTCCGAATATTCGCCAATTTCCAAGTATGCGGGTTAGTTAAGCTTTTACTGTTAAAGGATGACTGCATGAAGCAAATTTCTCTCTTCTGATTTCAGAAATGTTCCTCTTTTTTACTTAAATTACTTTGCTTGCAATATCTTTTGTTAAGGGAAAACTGATATACAATGAAAATTTAGAAAATATTCAGAATTTAGATTTAAATTATTTAAATATTAATATGAGTGAAAAAATAAATTGTATTTATTATTAGGTTCCAAGCAAATACAATAAATATGCCTTATTATTATTTATTTTCTCTATTTTGAACTGAAATTTCATCATTAAATCTTGTAATATAGTGTTACGAATTTGGTATTTAAAAAGCTAATGTTAGTTTAATTATAAATTAAATGGTTTTTTCTCGCGCAGTGCAGCGCGTGACATATTAAAAGAAGCTAAGCCAAAATTGAAAATACAAGAGCGCGTGCATTAAATAAATAAATATCTCTTTTTGATTTCGAGAAAGTACTGGAAAATTCTAGCGCGTGATTTTAAAATCTTATAAAGGAGGAAAACATCTCAGTTTGTAGTAGTTGCTTAGTTTGTTGTTGTTGTTGTTGATTGTAGCGAATTCGCGGATTAGCGTTCTTTAGCTGTTTTTGAATTACGTTCTATTGGACATTTGAGTAGTTAAAAGAAAACTACTGTGAGATATTGTAATACTGCATGATAATTTGAGAAAATTTAAGCATTTTTGTTGTGATAATAATAAATTTTTGTTCATTTTTCATCGGACTTGTGCATTTATTTCATAACGAACCCGTACGCACGCAACAATAGTTTAGTTTTGCATAGTTTTTTTTTTCTCTCATTGTGAACTAGTTCTGTAAATTGAACTGTTATTTAAAATTTAAAGAAAAAAAAGTAATTATTTTCCATGGTTGAGGTAATGCTTATTTTCTCTTAATAAATTTCTCATATTTTAAATTACAAGTCTAATTTTTAAGGTTATGCAGTTGTGTATAATGTAATTAGACAGGTGCTTATTTTTTTTCTTAAAATGTGCTTGAAAAGTGCTTATAGGTGCTTATTTTTTTAACTAAAATGTGGCTATGAACCCTGATGGGCAATACTAGTGGGTAGCAACAATCTGAAAAGTGAAACGGATATTTAAAATGCCACACACAAAAAATGCCAAAATGAAATTAATAGCCCTTAGGGCTAAAAATATGTTCAGAAACTTTTTTAAATAAGTGCCTTTACATAGTGATATATAATATGTTAAATATTATATATCACTATTATTAAATTATTATTAGTCCAAAGGGCTATTAGTTTCAAAAGAGCATTTTGTGTAGTTTCACTTTCCGCATTGGTTAACTTTTCAAATTGTTTATTATGCTGTTACCACCAAATATTATCACCATATATTCTATTTAAAGAAACTCAATAATGAAGAATCTGTATTAATGCATGAATGTTTTTTGCATTTTGAAAAACAACAGTACCTAGAGCCATCCAATTTTCAATAACATAGTCCTCCAATCTGAACAACATGGGCACTTGGAAGCTCGAATTTTGAATTTTTTTATTATCTATTTCAAATTTTATAAAACTTTTAACAAATTTTTCATTAACAAACTCAGCAATTTCAAAGCAAGCAATGGCAACACTGTACAGGAAAAAAGCATTTTTATCTCCAGTATGCAACACTATGTATTAGAAATTGTAAAGATATGCTGTTTTGCTGTGTTTGAATATATTGTAATATTGCTATTGAATGGAATATTATGTGGTTTAAGTATGGAGAACGATATTTAATAACGTTAAAAGAACACCCTTCTGGGCATAATATAAAATCTGAAAGCTTTCAAATTTTCCTATTTTTTCATGTACAAATATTGTTATGTGTACAAAATATTAAGTAATTTTTCAGCAGTCTAAATTTTAATTCCAAATATACGAACATTCAGTATTTGCATTTAGCTAAAAGCTAATAGAAGAAAGTATTAATTCTTAATTATTATCATAAAACTGTGTAATGTGTTTCTTGTTGAATGTGCAATTAAAGTGATGAATAAATGTTCATGAACTTTAAAGAAAATGAAGAACACTTTTATTGGGTATTCAATGTAAAATTAATTAAGAATGAAAATTTTAAGATTTCTATAAAGCATTAATCATTTGTATTACTATCTTTTAATTATGGAAATAAGGAGCATTCATGAATTCAAATTCACCAGTAGTTTAAAAATTATTTAGTACTTTTTAGTGCGTATCATTATATAAAAATGTTTAAATTTATTTTTAATTTACTTTTCATTTGATATTAAAGTATTGTACATGTGTATAGTTCTTGGATATTCTAATTATCATAGTTTAAACTATGAATGAAATACTTAACTGAAATCACCAGTGAAATTTAAATTTAGTAGAATTTGGCCCCAGTATTTGAGCATTTTTGTTCATTCATGCTTAAATGTAGCTAATCTGGCTTTTCCAAATGTAATTCTTTTCTTTTTTAGGCAGTGAAATGTAAAGTAGCATATATATATATATATAGTACTTTTATTAGAATCTGAAAAGTAAACACACATTATCATATATTTTACAAGTATTAAAAATTGACAATGCTATAATTAGTTGTTTGAAGCTAATGGAAGTAATTAACTTTAGTGTATTCTCAAAGTTCTATGTTTTTTACATTCACACTAACTTGTTTCAAATGTTCTACAATGTTTTAAATGGTACATTGTGCAATTACTCTACCAGAAGGCTCAAATAAGCATGGCAGACCAAAACAAAGCTGTTTATATTCCTCAATTCAAAATTGGTCAGCCACCAAGCGTTTGACCCTCCACTTTGAGAATTACAGTGAACGTAGCTTTTTTATGTTTAAATGCCGGACTTAAAAATCATAATTTGTGTTTCTCTCAAGATCTTTGTTAGCTGGATCCTCCATCATGACAATGCATTCAGCTGTAGTTTTTTTGACAGTGAGAGAGTTTCTGACCAAAAAAAAAGTGCCAATACTACCACAGTCATTCTACAACTTTGACTTCTCTCCCTGCAATTTATCCTTTCCCCCTAAGTGAAAGAGATAGAAAAGATGTGTAACAGGCTGTGGTGAGGAATCTTTGCAATATTTTGCAAGAGAAGTTCAAAAAGGTGTACAAATAATGGAAACATCACTGGAAGTGCTGTGTGGCTGCACAAAGGGTCTATTTTGAAGATTATTAAATTTATTTCCTCATGTCTTCAATAAGTATGCCAATATAAATCTAGTTACTTTCAGGACAAACCCTGTATATTAACGCAAAAACTCTTTTGTTATAGATGCATTTATTATTTACTTATATTAAACATTTTTAATGCTTTTTAGTGTTTGTAAATATTAAGATGTAGCCTTTCATTATACATTACAAAGTCTTTAATCCGGTATAATATGCGCATAATATGTTTACACATTCGCGTTTAATGTATAACGGACGGTATAAGCTAGGCAAAAATTATCTAATTATCTATTTCAGTTAATGTTGCAGATTGCGTTGTTCCTTAATCTTCTAATTGGACTCGGCTTATTATTTTTTGCAGACTGTAAGAGCAATTTTATAAAAAGTAAGCTTGAACTTTCGATTATGTCAAAAAAAGTTTCCGATTCTGGAGCTGCCAAAAGATCTACAAAGCGAAAGCATGTTTCGATCTCCATCAAACACAAAAGTGCAATTGCTGCAAAAAATGGATAAAGGCATATCCTTTGTTTCACTAACCGTTCCAAAGTCTGTTCATCAATTTCACGCTGATCTGCGGGGGGGGGACGTCGCGGTGCGCAATGAACTGGAAGTTGATCTATCAACACTATCCTCATCTTCAGGGCAGATGTTTTAATTTTATTCAGCTTATAATTCCTTACTAAATGTAGTATTTCATCTCGATGTACTCCGTCTTTGATATGATTTAAATCAAATTCCTCATCATTATAAATATCACGAATACACATCAAATACTTTTCTGGTTGCAATTTTCTAATTTTGACTATGCGTAATGTAATGCTTTATGCATTTGCGTGTTGAAAGAAATGTTTAATAAAGTAAACAAATAAATATTAAGCCTTTTTTTTTTTTTTTTTTTTTTTTTTTTTTTGTAAATTTTAATACCCTTTAGATCATAATTGCTCTTTATTTCATAAATTACGGTTTCGTATTTTTAATTTTATAATTTCTGCATGGCATCTTACGAGATTTAAATTGATGATCTATAATCCGGAAAAAACCCTAGTCCAGAATCAACGAAGTCCCGACAAGTCTGGATTAAAGACGTTGTACTGTATCTAAGAAGTTTAGAAAATACATACTGTCTTAAACATTTCATTTATTTTATTAAATTTATCAGTATTGGTTTTCTATTTAAGATGTTTCTGTGTAACTTCATTAAGTGCTTAAAAGAAATTAAAATATATATGTATATAGAAAAGAAGAGAAACACGTCAATGTGACAATCAAAATTGCAATAATAACCTTGTATTTAGTGTAAGTATATTAAAACACTCAATCAATTTTGAGGGCAGGTAAAAGGTCCGTCCTCATCAGGAGAACGAAATTCCTAGAAAGGGGGAAAAAGAAGAAAAATAAAGCATTGAAAAGGAGTCTCAGAAACACGAATACCACGTGTTTCTGACTATGGTAAGTACTGTGATAAAGACCACGTGTTTCTGAGACTCCTTTCCAATGCTTTATTTTTCTTCTTTTTCACCCTTTCTAGAAATTTCGTTCTCCTGAGGAGGAGGGACCTTTAGCTGCCCTCGAAATCGATTGTTTTAATTAATTACTTAAGCTAAGTACAAGATTGTTATTGCGATTTTGATATATGTATATAATTTTTGTAAATATCAGTATTGAAAAGCTGTTTTTTCCTCAAGGTTTGGTGCATCAAAGAAGCCCATATTCATTAACATTATACGTAAACCATTGGACAGATTAGTATCTTATTATTATTTCTTGAGATACGGAGATGATTTCCGACCTTATGTAGTAAGGAGGCGACAAGGTAACAAAGTGGTAAGTAAGAATCCTAAATACTCTATTAATTTTATAAAAATGAGAATAAATCTCATATATTTTATTATACTAATGCAAAAACTGAACCAAAAAAAATAGCATGTAAAATATCAGGTAATACAAAAATTTACAAAATGGAGTTTTTTTTAATTGTACGTATGCCTTAAAATCAAACCAGTGCTTTTCACTCGTACTACATGTTTGTTGTGTAACTTACATCATGATAATGAAGACTCCTGATTCCAGAATTACATTTATGTGTATGAACAAAACAGTACCAAAAGAGTACACCTAATCAAAACAATATTATTTGATTAGGTGTTCTTAAGTTGTGTAGCCACAATGTTCTTGAAACAGAAATAGTGACGTTGTTAAAAGTGTAGATATAATTGCAATGAGATGCTGCTCAAAATCCTCTTGGGATACTATGAGCATGAAGAAGAGGGTTTCTTGTATCATATTATTATGCTGGATGAAGCATAAACTGTACTGGCCAAATTGAAATGTCAATCAAACTAATTAACATCATTATAGGTTATCACAAGAATTCAAAACCTTAACATTGTGACAGCTATAGTAATTCTCATGTAAGATTTTGATGATGTTATCCTAATGCTGACCTTATCTCAAAAACATATTATCAATGTATTGTATAATTGTTTATTTTTGGAGCTTAATCTGACACTAGCTGGTCAAAAGAAGCAATAATACTTTCTTCAGAATCCTCCCTTTGTTTTGCAAGAGAGTGCTTGGGTGTATATAGTGTAAATTGTAGTTGATTTGTTCTTTATTTGGGATGAAACACATTCTACCGTCCATCATACACTCTGGATTTAAGCCTTTGTAATTATGATTGTATTCTTAAAATTGAGAAACCATTCCAAATATTCTTCAGGCATAATAGACTGTGTCAATCAAGTCATCAACAGAACATGCATCACTAAGTACGAGTTGCACATAATGCTGGTTCCAGTCCAAGTCTGGTAATCAAAGGACAGGAAAATTCCAGTCCTTTTTGTATAAGGTGTGCCCATAAAGTAACCAGACAAATTCAAATACCGAATGATAAAATTAAGTGAAAGAATAGATGTGACATCTCAACTCCTGTTAAAGCCTTTTTAAACTGGGTACTGTGTTGTTTGCATATCAGAATGCCAGAGTCATTTTCATTTACTGAGAAGACATACAAAAAAATTTTCTTCGAGGTGGAACAATGTTACAACAGTAAATTTTGTTGCAAATTAGGTAAATCTGCTACCAAAATATTAGAGATAATTCAAACAGTATACTGTGATGCATCGTTATCAGGAACTTGAATATATGAGTAGTACAACCACTTTAGATGTGGGCATGAAAGCGTCAAAGAGCCCTTCGACTTTACAGATGAGGAAAATGTGAAGAAAACCTGTTCTTTGGTAAAAGCTGATAAATATGTTACAACTCAGCAACATTCAGATATGCTTTGGATAAGCAAAGAATGCTGTAGGTTAATTTTAATTAAAAATATAAAAAGTGTGGGTTTGATTTGTGCCTTGGAAAAGCTTGCAAGTGTTTACAATACAACCCAGACAGAACTGTCTTCTGAACAGGAAGATGAGTAATGCTTGCATTTTTTTTTATTATAAAGAATTTATTCACTGTGAATTTATCTCTGGAAATTAAACAGTTAATCAATATTTTTTACAAGAAGATGCTGCCTGCCACCCAGATGAAAAAGTGATTAATTATGCTAACTGCCATATCAAAGGCCCACGATTGAATCCTGGAGGCGGCATGTATACAAAATGTCTGTGTGACTTGGGAACACTTAAAATATATGGTAAGCTGAAAAGCCCCTTGGAGAGGTTGTGGCAGGGATAGAGGGATGGAAGATTCTAGAACTCGTCCTCAAGGATCTCTCCTGCAAAATTGGGTGAAAGTGAACAAAGTCCTATTGTCACCTGTATGATGCTCAAAGCTCTTGTCAATGATGGACAGATTCTTGTGCTCCTTGCCACAATAAAATTCGTGGGCTTGTTCTGATTAGTGATTAGTGATCTTGAATAAGTGAGATTAGTCATGACAACAGCACCAATGAGGTGCTTTTTTGATTTAAAAAAAAAAAAAAAAAAAGAGGATAAGGTAAGTCAAGAAGGAACTTTTTGATTCTGAGCAATGGTTTCTACTTCTTTTATATGATAATGCTAGGCACCTTATAACATTGTCTGTACAACTGTATCATGCTGAACATTCAATTGTAATGATAAATTACCCACCATATTCTCCTGATATATCTATAGCCTGCTGATCTTTTCATTTTTTTTTTAGAAATACAGAGATTTGAAAACTTCTCAGATATTTAATCAAATGTTATATGTATTTTGCAAACAGTTAATTCCAAATTCCTTATCAATAGACTCTTCTGATAGTTATTTTGAAAGAGATAAATTTATTTGGAGTTTAGTAATCTTTTTCTTATTTGTAAGAAATTTTATAGCCACACCTTGTATATTCAACTATATTTCATACCAATCCGGATGACCATTTTATTTAGCTGTAACTGTTATTTGTTTGTGTGTATTTGAAGGAAAAGAATGACAGAGAATGATAAAAAGAATATGTGTAATAAATAGTGTGTTTTTTTAATTAATGAAATTGTTATATGTAGGATGACTCTAATTTTATATCTCATGTATTATTTACTGAATGGAAAAAATATTAATGCAATAGTATGGAAATTAATATTTAATTGGAATAGCAGATAGAAATTCAAGTTTTTGTTTTTGAGCAAATTGTAATTAGTGATATTGCGTAAGAATCTGCAGCAATGATCAATATAGATAGAAGAAACCTATCTGTTGGCAACTATGGTTCATCGGTGATTTAATTCCATAACAGTGTGCAATTCATAAGGAAATTCTATTGTAAAAACAAAAAGTTTTTTTTTTTTTTTTTTTTTTTTTTTTTTTTATAGTAATGCAATCTTCATTTTGGTGTTAGCGTTGATCTGTATGAAACCTTATATATGCTTTTAGGTTACAGTTGACCACCATCTTCTTTTACTTATGTACCCACACTTTTTTATTTTACATTTACTGCCAGATTATTTCTAGCATTCTTTGTATTTTCATTAGTGCTGTGCTATTACAACTTTATAAGTGTAAGACATTAAGGATGCTCCAAGGGCTTTGAAATCTCTTGTTTGGTTTGAAAACAAGGAAATTGGATGATTTTTTTATATTGCTCAACTTTTAAAACAATACATTATATTATACAGTAGTAAGCTAATGTATTTTATTTGTTCATTGTTTACTTTTAAGATGTTCCTTTCTCGCCCCTCTTTTCAGAGTAGTTATATGTAGGTTAGTCTTGATTCAAAATTCTGTATATGTAGGTTGGGAAGTAGTGTTATACAGTATAAGAATTGCACTTTTTCATTTTGAACTTGCCTTTCATGGATTAAACCAACATGTTGGAGCCCTTTACTTTCAGAGGTACTTTACGAAGGAAGATGCTCATAAAACAACATGCAGTATGCTTTGCATTATTAAACTATGCAATATAGTTTAGTGTATGATATACTTTATTATTATTTGATTTAATGTTGAAAATGTTTTATTTTGCATAATTTATAAATGGAGATAAATGACAATTATGCATATTATGCTAATATCCTGCTCTGCATAGTGTTTGCTGTTATGCACTGTTTCACTTGACTGCACTAAATCTTAGAACTTACAACCCACAAGACCCATATTGTATAACATTTGAAAATAATTCAGTACTTTAAGCCATAAGGAGCATGATAAGATTGGTTTTTCTTGCATGATGCAATTGTTATCAAGCAGTATATTACTTTCTTTTCCTTAAAATGAAATATAATTTTAAAAGATTGCATTAGAAATAAGTGTATAAGTAATTAGATTCTTAAGACACAGAGTAGCTATGTAAACATGCTAAGAGACTGACAAACGACCTCTCTGTCACTGTCTTCGGTATTGGTAGCAATATTTTCTGGATTCACAACTATACCACAGATTCTACCATCTGATAGTTGATTGATGGGGCAGCATTTTCATTATGATAAAAAAATTCTGTTATGTCTTCTTAATTTATTACCATTTCTCTGCATATCTTCACAAATTCTTTTTGCTTTTTCTTTGCACTACCTAAAATTATCATACAATTATTAAAAAAACTTAGCTACGATCTCTTATACATTATTGGTGGTATATCATGAGATTGGTTACTAGAGATGTATTGTTCTGCTAAATATTGTCTTGCATGCTAAGGAAGTTAAGTCTAATTAGTTATTTATTATACCTACTTCCTACATATGCTTAACCCTTTCAGGACAGGCGTCCCATATACGCATTCCCTAAGAACGTCTCTTACAGCCAGGTGTCCCATCCACGCATTAGTAGAGATTGCATTCAGAGGACGGGTGATGCCTATATGCATTTTAAGGGGGAACGTTTTTCTGAAGTCCACTAGATGGCATCCTATGTCCATTACTTTTGAAATGAACACAGTTTTAGGTTCATGACCTTGAGTTTGATATATTCTGCCTGACTGTCGTATTTTACTCATCAGCTGTTTGAGGGGGGGGCGGAGGGAAAGTGTAAACAGAGGTGGGCTCTTTAAATTGCTGTGTGCTAATGAAAACATTTTTGTATCTGATTTATATCCAATTCCTTTTTTTAATTCTATTTTTCCTCTACTATATAGGGTCTTTTAGGGTTACTGTGCGGAGTTTTTTTTACGTTTTGCATTGCCTTCAGATATATTTGCGTTCCTTCTTTTTTTATTTAGGAAAGCCTCACCTTCAGTGTATTATGGCGGGAAGGTGCTATTTATCAGAGGAAGAATACCCTCGTATGGTTAGTGAACCATTTATTCATGCAAATGAGAGTACTGATTCATTTTCTAAAGAGTTAAAATGTAATACTTTTTCTAAGAGTTAGAAAGTGATACCACACTCGTTTTCATTTTAAATTTTGTTACTTCTAACTGTAAATAGTCTTTATGTGTTTTTATTAATTTAAACTTTGTTGATGGATTTTATCAATTAAAACTTTGGAATAATTGAATAGCGCTTCCGAAAACTATTTTACAAGATAAGCAATTTTTTAAGTATATTTTCATGTAAAATAAAGAAAAAAAATTTTTAAGTGCTAATTTTAACATATATAAGAGCTCAAGTAGTAATCTAAAATGAAACCAAAAAATTATGATGCTAGAAGCAAAACTTTTGTTTTTCTGATTTTTTTAATAATATTAGGCTTAGCGATGCAAAACCTTCGTCCTGTACAGTGACTGCCTTCGATTCTCTTCTGTCCCGCACGAGCGTCTTAAACAAAGGTGTGCCGTCGCGAAAAGGTTAAGAATTATCTAAATCTTGAAATATGGTATAATATCATCTCAGAAATATGGGATAATATCATTTGCCCCCCAAAAATGTTTTTGTAATTGCTCAATTCGGTAGGTATGATGAATTTCAATAGCATGTTGGGTTTGAGATGTATGCCAAGCAGAAAGTGGTTATAAAGCCAAATCATTGTTCAATACAGATTTATGGTAACAAATGATTATATTTCTTCACCACAGAAGGGTTTTATTTAGTGCCAAAGTAAAGTTAAGAATCCTTCCACATGCTTTATTATGAAAATCTGATGGTTGTGCATGCATTAATCTTTAAGCATATGCTAAAACAATAAGCATATGCTACCTTAGAATCTCTTTTTTCCTTTTTGCAAAAAATTTAAAAAAAAAAAAAAAGTCCTGTGATCTGGAGGTTTGAATATTTCCAGATTTTTGGTTGTCCAGATCTCGAACTTCATATTGTAAATGTGTTCCCAAGTGAAGTGATTATTCTCATTACAAAAATTCATAACTGTGGGTATTTTTCTTTTTAAAAGTAGGAAAAAAAGATGAATTAAATTTGCATCTTCAAATCTTTGAATGAGGTTTACATCACAGTACTCCATTTCTAGATTTTCTGGGGTATTACTCCCATTCATTTTTAATGGTCATGAAAAAAATATAAAAATGGACTAAAAATCTTAAACCTTTCTTTAAATTCTTGTCACAATTAATCGTAATAATAATATTAATTTACATCAAATGTACTGGTGGGCAATGTAAAATTTCTACAGACACTGCTAGCTTGAGATCACTGTTATATGGAATTTCCTTGTATATTTTTCCCCTTGCATATTTTCCTCCTGGCCTTTTAATGTTAGATTCTGAAAATTTTAAAAATATACGCACCATTTTCCTGTTGCTGTGTTTTAACATCTGAGGGCTAGTTTATTGGTAAATTGTATTCAGTTTATTATTTTTATTCAGGGAATTCAGTTTATGTTAGCATTTCATTCATTTTATTTTCCCTAGCATTTGTCATTTGAAATATATTTGTACAGATCTTTTGTTAAACTGCCTGGACGTGGCAGATTTCCTCACACTTCAGAAACTTTCCAAATGTGTTTCCACCTTGCTTCTATCATTTGCATTCCAGCTCACTGTAGTTTTATCAACTACTGACATCTTTGATTTTTCGAAATTCAGGCCTTTTGTTAGCCCCTTCCCTTCTCCTATATTCCTCCAGTGTCCCTTTTGGGAACTGTGCTTAAGACTCATTCATGTAAGGTGTCTCTGGGCCTTTACAAAGTAATTGAGGCAGATACATTGCATTCTGGCTCAGTTAGCATCAGGTATTACTAATCAAATATCTGCTCAATATTCATGAGATTGTAATATTAATATTAATGTATTCTTATTGGAATGTAGGTTTCCTTTATAAAAGTAATATTGTGATAGTTACCAGTAGTTTATCCATGACTGCTTTTCATTTGTGATGTTCTTACCGCAACTGTTTTCTTCGAAAATTAAATCACTGCCATACTATTCCTTTCTCAATTTTTGGAAGATAAAATTTGTTAGAAAAAAGAGAAAAATGCATGAAGAAGTACAGGTACCTGTATGGTATATCATTAGAAGATTAAAAGTGCTAAAATTCTTTTCAATTAAAATGTTGATAAAAATTATCAGTTGGACATATTATAAATTAAATGTATTTTTAACTATGTTAGCTAGACAGATAGACAGATTATTAATATAAATTGAAAATGATCAAGTTGTTGGTCTTTGTTGACCTTCAGGTTGAAGGATATTGGTATAGGTGGCAAAGTAAATTTAAATAGATTATTAAAATAAATTTTTATTGAAAAATATGACTGAATTGAAAAGTACATGAATGCGAAGCTGACTGTCACTGAGCAGTGCTGCAGCACAGTAATTATTGCAAAGTGCATTTATTGCTTTTAAGTCTCTCCGTTTATGAAGTAATTGCAAATTCATTAATTTGAAGAATAAATTAAAAATCTTGGGCTAAATGGCAATATATGTAGACTTGTTTATTTGTGAGGTCTTGTGTGGGTTAAATATTTTATGTTTCATGCAATGGCAACAGCTGCCAAATTGCCTGAATATTAAATGCATAATAATATAACATAACAGGAAAATGCAAACATTTTGAAGGGTCTTCACTAAGGACATTTCTGATATCAGAATTAAACTGAAAGACAGTGTTGATATTCAAAGCCTTTGGTAAATGATTACTTAGAAATCTGATGGTTTCTTGTGTGTGATAACATATTATATTTATATTATGAAAATAAAATTAAATCAGAGGTCACTAGTGTCCATAAAGATCATAGTGTAGGGTAGGTTAGGTCCTACACTATGACCTTTATGGACATCCTTTATGTATCCTTTGTGAACGTCTATAAGGTCATTAGTGTAGAATGGTGAAATAAATTTAAATAGGTAATTAAAATAAAATTAAGGTGAAGGACGTGCATGATTATCAACTGCTGTTGGTCAGATTTATGGTGACAGTCTCTAATATGGGGCAGTATAATATGTCATTCAATAACAGCACTTGTGAAGGTATGTGGATGATGATTGTATGGTAGCATTGTGCAGTGTAATGTGACATATTACATATCTTAGCATGCTTAAAAATATGGCCCCTTAAAATACAAGACCATCCTTGCATTTTAGGATGAATTTAAGAAATAAAAATTTAATCGAATATTTATTTTGTCTTGTCTAATAAAAAGAATTTTAATGGCCCCTTAAGAATCTCCTTGAAGTAGCAGTACAGTTAGCTGTTTTCCAAGATATTGTTAGAGATACATTGTTATTTTTTTTTTTTTCTTCTTTTCCAGACATACCAGTGATCAGTACAGTGGATTCAGGCTTACATTGAAATCGCTTAACAAAACATGGCTATTGTATTACCTATAAGTTTTGTTTTCTATTTAAAGTGTAATTACTCTATGTAGTTTGATTTCCTCTTATTCTGCAATTTCATATACCATTCTCTTATAAGACCCTGCCAAATTTTAGGAAAAGGGGGGGATTTTATTATTAAGTAAATGCAGTAATGTTTAAAAAATTATGAAACAACTCTTCAATATTTGGGATTGCTAACATCAAAGTATTGTGAAACCTACCAAAGATAGCTAGTTACGATTTCAAACAAATCTGACAGTCAAGATATTAAAGATGTGTTGTGTACCATTATTATTGTATTATGTTCTTATTATTCTTACAAGTGCTTGCCAGTTTCAGAGCTAACCAGTATGAGAAGTTTCACATGTGCTGTTAAATAAAAAGCAGTAATTTCAATAATTTTGAAATTGTATAAATTTTTTTATTAAAATGATTTAATTGATTTTGAACTTTTTTTTTTTTTTTTTTTTTTTTGATTAATTTGCATTTTAGTCATTTGATGACTGTGTTCAGAAACGAGAGAAAGACTGTGATCCTGAAAACATGTGGCTTCAGGTGCCATTTTTTTGTGGGCACTATGCTGAGTGTTGGTAAGTTTTCTCTGTTGTATTATTGAAATATTTTTATTTAATATTTTAGTTACATTGAAAAATTTTGTTCTGACTGAGATAAGTTGTTTTTTCCTTTTGAAATGTGGCTTGCCTCTTTATTGTTAAAATTATGATTGTTCAAGTTTGAACTGATGTTAATTTAAATTAATTAAGTAAAAAAATGTGAATTGTTGTTCAGTAAAAGATTATTAAAAAAAAAGCATGCACACACAAAAATTTGATTCCCATATGACACAAGATAATTATTTCAACATTTGGGATTTTTACCATCATTTTCAGACGTATTGAGGGGTTGGTTAAAAAATAAATAAGAATATTTCAAGGTTAATTATTTTTCCTTTAATGTCATTCAGTGATATTCTTTTGTGATTTACTGGTGTATAGTATTCTTTAATTTATAATTTTATTACATTTTTTTATGCTGAAAACATTTTCATGTGAATAGTTTATAAGTTTTTAAATATTGAGAATGCATTAATAATATTCATTTGCAGCTTTATTATTTTGGAATCATTATCTAAGTGTCATAAAAATTTCATTGGACTAGTAATAATTTTTACTTAAATTTAAATTTGTGCAGATAATGATATGAATTCGCTATGTACCAGTAATTGAAATTTGAAATTGTTTTCTAGAACATGAATTCTGTAATATCCAGTGAATAAGACCTTCCTTCTTGAAAAATTTTTATGGCAGTGTATGAAACTATGCTTGTTAGTTTATTAATATCCAAAACCTTTTTTTTTAATTGGTATATAAATTTAAACATTTCAGTTTGTGTATATTCATGAACATGATCTGAAATATAGTGACTGAGTTTTTGTAGAATTCTTAATTTTTCTTAAATATGTGATTTTCAAATAGATGTTACATTTCTAGGGTCCCAGGAAGTGAATGGGCTTTACTGCAAGCAAAACTCAATCTTGTGCAGCATTATTTGTTGGTAGGTGTTACTGAAGAATTGCAAGATTTTATTGCTCTTTTAGAAGCTACATTACCACGTTTCTTCCATGGAGCTACAAATTATTTTGTAGAAGGTGAGTTAAAAATGTATAGTTTATGTTTATTGCTATTTGTATAGTGTAGTTCTTAAAATTTAACTCAAACATTTATTGAATTTTGAGAAGCTGGCCTTCTTAATTCTGTGCCATTTTTTTCTGTTTTGTTGAGATGATTTATTTTCATCAAAGGAATGCAAGCAGAAGTAATTTTTACTTTCTTGGTGGTAAAAAGTGGTCGTAACCAATTAAAATTGACAGAAATTATTGATTTTTTGAAATTTGGAATATTATTCATATTAATTAATATGGTTTTTTAAATGGTTTGTTGTAAATTATTACTATTATTTTATAAAATTATCTGAAGTAAATTTTAACAAATAATTTATTATGTATATTTAAATTTTTATATATGCACTTATGTTTTCAAAATTTCTGTATCATGAAGAAATTAGCAGAATAAAATAACATTTTAAAAAAATGTACAGTTTGGCATGCAGATGATCATACATATAGAATGACCAGATGAATGGTCATGTAAAGTGTGTAAACATAGCTGTCAAAGGGCTACACATGTAGTTACCATCATCAGTGAAAATTTTGCTATAGATTTCATCATAATTCTTCAGTGTGAACATTCATTCTTTTAATAGAAACGAATTATCTGCGTGTGTGAATAGCTTTTGTGCCTCAACATTATTGCTTAGATGGGTCATAATGCTATTACAGTGATACAGATGTAGAAATAGTTGGTTGAACATAGAACCAGATGAGTCAAAATTCAACAGTAGGCTAAGAGATAATAAATATCCAGTCCATATTGATACTGCTTAGTATGGATGCCTGTCAACATAAAGAAGCAGAGAACAGAACTCTCAACCTCACACCGTCCAGCAGCTCAGACCTCCAAGCAGCTTGGATTACAGCACCATGCCACCAGTGCCGGTCATTGTCCTGTCCATATGTCAGTGACAGAATGAGCAACTCCAATATTAACAAATCATTGAAGCATTGCTACAAACCTAGTATTGTCTGCCTCCCCAGCCTGACGCATCTACTACTCAGAGAAATATGCGCAAGCATCCTTTTACACAGCATTCTCCTGACCTTAGAATAAAATGCGAGCGTGAACATAGACAGTGACATGAAATATTTTCAGATGAATACCATTTTCACTTGGACTAAAATGACAGCCATCTTTCATCTTGCAATCTGAAATGAACAAATAAAGGCATGATGGGGTAGGACATCATTGATTATTACAGATATCTTTAGCTGCTCTGAATTTCAGATGTTCTCAATAGCAAGTAATATATCATGGCTACTGTAGAGACTAATATCAAATTCTTCCTTCAGCAAACTTCTGGCTCAGTATTTTTCAAGACCATGATTGAATTATATGATGCCCAGGATATTCACATCTTCTTCATAATACAGCAGATATCACTTCCCTGGTTTGTCCATTTGCTAGTTCATTCTCATGCATCAGTAAGGATGTATGAGATATGGAGATTTGATGAATAGTTTATTCCGTTCCTGCAGTTAGTACCAGTGACCTATAGAGTTTGATCAAAACAGCATAGAATGTTATTTAGTACCACAGTATGTACATACCTTATTGTTGCTCATAGTAGCTTTAAAAAATACTAATTTTGTATGAATAATGAGTACATTAATAGAAATCTGTAGAAATATGTACTTAAAATTGACATTTGATGTTAAAAACAAAATAAAATAAATAAAAAATAAAAATTATTCTTCTGAGTGCATCAGTCAGATAAGCTATAATGCGAAAGCTGTGAACCAAACCATAAATACAATTTGCCATACTTACTTCGAAGGTAGTCTCATTTTCAGGAAACGTCAAAAACAAATTTGAGTGTAATCTGTGAAAATCTTTTAATGGTAGTAAGTCAGCAGATCAGACTGGAATTTTTATGTGCATAAAGACGTTAATAAAAAAGATTGTAATAGAATGTGTCAGCTGTAAGAAAATTGTGCGCGCAATGATGATATTGCTTGCAGGCAGTATCATCATTGTGGAAGATTTATGACTTGAAGAAATTTTCTTCAGATTTTCATTCATTTATACTAAATTGAGTAATTTAAATTTGTCTTCTACAGCCTACTTTATATAAAAGAGACCAGGCTGAATTTGAATGGTGATATACAAAGCTTTGAATAAATACTGTAAATAATGTAGCATGAACATGTTTGAATAATGACCTTGCTTTATTTTAAAACAAATTCTCATTTATTACATGCATTATTCAATCAATTTTTGGTTATTACATAAATTTCCTGCATCGGTTCGATCTTGGGCGAATGGGCTGGCTGCATGTTTGGTTTTCGTAGTTCTTCCCATATGTAACGTGAATATAAGCCAGTTTCATTCCACAAAAGCATCCCTCCTCTTATGCAGATAGCCCTCGTGGCTTTTGATAATCAAATAACCATAGCCTACCAGGAAGAAAAAGTGTTTGAAAGATTTTATCATGAAATTAAGAGAATGTTTCTTTGGCGCTGTTCTTCATTGTTCTATTTCATTTAAAACTGTGCCAAAGGTGTACGAAAAAAATTAAGCCAAAATAGGCCAATGTAGCACTGAAAATGTGAGATATGGCTGTAAAAGAAAAGTGCCATAAAATTAATATCATGAAAGAACATTTGAAATGCAGAGTTATGAACCATAAATAGTTAGAAAAAATTATATTAAATTTAAGGAATATTTAACATGTAAATCATGTAGGTATATCTGAAATGTAAGTCAACCCTCAATGCACAGCATCTAGAAACTTATGTTATGAACAGAAAACTTATCCAAGAATAAAAGAAAAAAAATAGTATTAGAAAGTGTGCCAGAATCAAAATATACCTTAAAAAATAAGTGCCAGAAGAAGCCAGACTTTGAAGATGTAAAAAAGGAGATTTTAAGAAATTTCATAATGGATATATTGAGCCACATGTATGCTCTTAAAATGGATTGAATCCAGTTCAAGATTATTATTATTAATTTAGTTTGTGTAATCGGTTTGTGGAAAGAAAATATGCAATGATGCAATAGTAGCAGCAAAAGATAAAAATGTAATAAATGTATGATTTAATTTCAGATGTCCTTTTGATACCTTTTAATTTCAGATAATGATTGGTTTTAAATATGCATCAATGAATTAAAGATAAATAAGTAAATTTCATAAATATAGATTTAAAATTTTGTCTTCAGTTTTTATGAGTGTTTTTTCATTTAATGTTTTATTTGGAATGATAAATCTTTAATTAGTGACTTAATCAATACAGACATTAACTAATTAGTGACTTCATCAATACAGACATTAACATGGTTAGTAAATATAAATAAAAATGATTATCATATTTTATGTCTTGAATATAAGTGGATTGGTCTTTTTTTATGGGATATTTTTTGGACTCAACTTGTATGCCAGAAAATAAGATATTTTAAAGGAAACATTTAAATATAAGTAATGAAAATCATAATATTCATTCTCTTATTTTACCAGTTTAAAACATTATTATTTAAATAAAATATTTTAAAAAGGGATAGTTATGTACAGCTATTATTTCTCATAAAGGCTGTGTTTAAAAATAATTGTTTTATATGCATATATGTAATGAGAAGTTCATTTTATATTATTCTGAGGTTTTTTTTTTTATTTTCTTTAGGAAAGAAATCTCATCTTCGTAAGACATACAATAAAGTCAGTCCATCGCCGGAAACAATTTCAAAAATACAAGCTTCACGCATTTGGCAGATGGAAAATGAATTTTATGACTTTGCATTGCAACAGTTTCATTTTATCAGGAAAAAAACTTTAACCATAAAGGATGGTTTAGTATCAGATAAAGGACAGCAATTTATGTATGAAAAAATCAGGCCAAGGTAGAACCTTGCATGGATATGTGGTGGTCACACAATTATTATTAGGGAACAAAACAAAAAAAAATATTTTTGAAAAATTATATTATGGATGACTGCAACTTAAAATATTGAAATCAAAACTTGAAGGAATGAACATTTACTTAAAAAGAAAGTATCAGTGTAAAGAAATGCTAATATTAAATGAACTTGAGAATTTTTATTTTATATATTTCTATATGTGTACTTAATAATTTTGCAAATTTGATGTGCACATCATCTGTTTTAGTTCAATTAGATCTACAATTAAAGCACAGTTTTGTGAATTAAACTTTTTTGAAGCACTGTAATTACATTTTTGTACATACCATAGACCCAGCAACTGCTTTGCATAAATGCAGCTGCATTTACAGAGCTGCCAACCCTCCTGTCAAAATTGGGAGATTCCCGATTTTTCATCATAATTCTTGATAGCTCTGTAAATCTCCAAATCTGTTGGTTTTTAATTTATTCAAATTTGAATTATCTCTTTCAAAGGTACATTTAAAAGAACTGTTGATCACCAAGTTTTGAAGGAAAAAGAAATGTTAGGGAAAAAAAAAAAAAATTGATGACAAATTCTCAAAAAAGGGCAAAGGCAAAACATTGTCACATTTAAATGAAACTCCTGCTGTGCAAATTTATTTTTTTCCAAATGAATTTTTGGAGTAGTTTTTCTGATTCACTTTTCTTTAATCCAAACTGTTTTAATCCATTATGGAGTAAGTAATTTAATCCATTATAGTGAAGTATTTATGAAGATTTGATTGTTGTTTGAAATATTTGCATTTATTTACCTATTATACAATACAATAAAACTAACATTTAATAGGCATTTGATTTTGTTTTAAATCTGTAAATGATGCATTACTAAGTTTATCTGTATAATTATATGCAGGTTAATTTTTTTTATTTTCATTGTATAAAGACATTTCTCAAAATAACAAATTGTTTCTCCTACTGGGATTTTCATGATATAAAATTTTAAGAAAATTATAAAATTACATGTACAAAGATAAAACATATAACTTGAAATAAAATTTTAAATAAATATCAGAATAATGCATTTTATATCAAAATTATGTTAAATTAATTTAATAACTTGAATTGTGTTGTATGAACTTAGTTCTAGTCAAATTTGTCAAATCATGTCATTGCTGTATGCAAAAAATTTCCAGTTTTTCACATAAGGTTGGCAACTATGTTTTTCTTATTTGTTAATTTTGAGATAATTAGGCATTTTTTATTGTAAGTGCAACTGCATTTATACCTTACTGGTTATGAAAAAATTAGGCAACATAACTAAATATCAGTTTTAATGCACATTTTAAGAGTTTTTATTATTCATGAGGTGCTGTAGCTCAAGGTGGACCTAATTTTATTTACTTTTTAAAATCATTATTCACATAATTATTTATTTTGTTGTTTTCATAAGTCATTTGTATATACATAGAATTATAGATATAAAATATGTATATATATGAATGTATTTAAAAGTTATTACAAAATTAACATTTTGTTTGATTTAGTACGAGATTAATTTCTTCCCAGGGCTGAATATTCTCTTTATGTATGCAAAATGCACAGTTTGTGATTATTTAATTTGCTTTTTTTGTTGTTCTGAAACAGAAGTTATGTGTACTTTTCATATCATATGTTATAATGCAGAGATACTGTTTTATTTTTATTATTAATATATAATCTAACAGTAATTGTAATACATAAGAAAATTTTAAAAATATTTTTAAATGTTTGCTTAAGAGAGAAATAGTATATTGCCTTCTACACTGATTACTCACATATGTGGTGGCCAACAGATAAATTTTGCTTTACCTTCCTCTCTTCCATTTTCATCTACCTATTATTAAGTTTGCAAGCCATGCCTTGTTTTTTTTTTTTTTTTTTTTTTTTTTTTTAAACTTTGAGAATTAAGGTGAAAAGAAAGGTATATTATTTTGTAATGGAATGATGATTCATTATTGAGAAAATCAACAGCTGCTGAGCAAGAATGCTAAAAACGGTTTTATGCTTTAAAAAGTTTATTTGAACAGATTTGCTCTTTTTTTTTTTTTTTTTTTTTTTTTTTTTATCTGTTTGATTGAAGCTAATAGCAGCAGATCTCTAAAATTATTATCCAATGGTGGGGAATTTTTAATTTAGATTATAGTAATCAATGTATATTAAGGTCATTTGTTTTAGGAAGGTTTTATACTTCTTATGATAACTGGTTCATATTGACATTATACATTAGGATTCCTTGCCTGACCCCAGCTTCCCCCTTTAAAATTCAGCCAGACCATTTAGCCACCACGACCAAACCTAGGACATAAACTCTTTTTTTTTTTAATTAAAATTTGATCTGTATTGTAAAGTTCTTTATTTTGCTTATTAAATTTTTTTTAAAGGTGGTATTTTAAAATGTTTAAAACGTATAAAGTAGTGAGTGCTGCTTTTTCTGTGCCTACACCAAATGGTAGGATTCAAATAATTTTACTCGTTCATAACAATAGTGACTGTTTTAAGTTTGTAAATAAATTTTAAATATATATAATATTTAATGACTGGTTCATAACATTGTTGACTGATCTTAATATATATATATATGTATATAAGAACAGCTGTTGGATTATCTATTAGTAAGAGAAAGAAAACTAGGAAATTAAGTAAAAAGTGAACGTCAGTGCTAGTGTGGTTCAAATAAAATTACTACAATAGCATTAAAGTTCACTTTTTATTTAGTTTCTAATTTCCTTTCTTTACCTATGAGATTGAATAACTGTTCTAATAAATAACTTCTTATTTTCTTACTTAGTAGCTATAGCATAAGCTCATATATATATATTAATTCATGCACTTGGCCTTGTAGTGTGTTTTTACTGAAGCCTGATTAAGACGTGTAGAGGCCCTAAGCATTTAAAACATTTTGAAGCCCTCGCATATGTTTGTGCCAGTTTTTTCTTCATTCCTTCACTTTCGGTTTTAGTTTAGCTGCATCATGCATTCCATGGTAAGACTGGCAAATGGAAATTTTTGTGCCGCCTTTCCTAAATAAATACCTGAGGACCTTTTTGTGGTGCCCCCTTTCCATGATACTAAACACGTACTTATACTGCTTAATCCAGCTCCGTTTTTTACTCATATATGTACACCATGCATATTAAAAAAATATGTGATATAATAACAGTAAGACAAAAAATAGACCAAATCATGCAGAGTTAGCATTAATTGCTGAGCTGCATAATCTTCCTCTCACATTCTGCGATGATCTGTCAAAAAAACAGCTGATCAGCTGTTTTATGCAAATGAAGACTTTTGTAATAAATTGCCAAAAAAATTGTAAGCAACCATTTCAATCAAATTAGATGATCCTTTGAAATTTTTGCAGAATCAAAACTATCTGCACAAAGATCCTTTTTAGTGTTAACAAATGTACAGTGACGTATGACTATGTTTATGCCATGTCCCATTGAATAAAACAGTGATCTTCATTTAAATTTTTGTTATTTACAAGGTGGAAATTACATTCATGCTTCGTACATTTCGAGCATTTTGAAGACTGTCATCTTTTTTTTTTCTTTAGTGCTGCAAGTTGCATTTATAACTACTACTGTAATTTAAGTAACTTTACATATTCATTTTTTGATGTTTTTGGAAGAGCAAAAATAACTAAGATGCAAACTGTACACAATAAAAAAATTCTACTAATTCAGTTTTTAAAAATGATTAGTTTCAGTGTTCAAGTTTTGGAAAAGTATGAAATTTGCATTTCTACTTTAAAGGGGAGACAGCTTCTACTTAAATTAAAAAAAAATATTTTTATGTATTCTAATTTCCTGCCATACATTATGGTTGTTTGCCACACCAAAAAGAGAAAGAAGAAAAGATCTCAGCAGTATACTTACTGGTTCTAATAAATAGTAATTAGAACAAATAATTTTAGAAAAATACCAGTCTTGTTTTGAAGAAAAATGAAATATTAGTTCAGGCTAATTTATCCTTTTCTAGAGTAATATTTCCATTCCTGTTATATGACATCCCATTTACAAACCTCGAAGCAAAGTATAATTCAAGCTCTCTTACAAAAAAATCATTATTCCGAGGTGTAATGTCTGTAAATGAAATTGACGATTTGTATTAAAAATAGATCTGATTGTAAACCTGCAACTAAATTTGCCTTTTGTATGTGAATTTTCCTAAGAAATCGAAATGTTAACTGTGGTGCTTTAGGGCAGCAGTTCTTGGTCTTTGGTCCACAGACCACAAATAGGCCACAAATGTCCACAGACCACACTGCTTTTGTAAGTCTTCCTAGACTTTCAATAAAAAATAAAATTCAAATTAATTGCATATATCACACTACAGCTAAAAATCTTAAGAGTTTCGAAATTTCAGTGGCAATCACCAATTACAGTTGTCTTCCAAAAGACATTTTATGAAATTTTTCAGCAGCTACCATTCTTACGGACTTCCCACTACAATCTTAGTAACAAAAGATGGATTTAAAGCACCATGACTGCGGTGCTTCTTACCAGCACACATCCAAGCATAGAAGGGTTTTGAAAAAAACTGGCAGTCCCACACATCTAATTTAATATGAGTATCAACATTTATCTAGTTTTTAGTGAAAAAGTTAAAGATCACCCAAAACTCTAAAATCGTTGAATTATTAAAAACCAGTAAAACTTTTCTTCTGTTAACTTGATCAGTTACTACCACTATAAATTATAATTAATTGTATTTGAAAAATATAAATATATTGGTAGTAACATTGGCTAAAAAATTTCTTCCATATTTTTGCAATTTGGTGAATTTAGTTTTTAAAAAAAATTATAGCATTATAAGAAAAGATACAATAATCTTTTGTGCGTAAAAGAGTAGTAAGTTCTGTTTCCAGTGGTAAAATGAAAGCTGAAGTACCTTTTTGGATCACAGTTCAGATATAGCAAACATTATGGAAAAAAAATTCGTATGCCTAAAAAACTTTGCAAGTAAGTTCATTAAAATAGAAAATTGATAAAAGTATTCAAATATAACTAAAAATATTTAAATATAAATAAAAATTTTACCATAAAAATGGCAATTTAGTGTTATTTTACAAAATTATTTGAATATATTTCAGTGTACAGTATTTGTTTTTGTTTTGTTAACATTAATCAATCATCGTGTCTAAACAATAAAAATTATGAATCCTAATTTGAAGAATGTGTTAGAAACTTGGTCAACTGTAAGAAATATTAAATGCAAATCACAAATATGATCCTCTTCACCTTAAAGTAAGTAAAAAATGCAGCAAAATATTCATTAAATTCTTTTTAGTTTAATTTCATTCTGTATTATTTGTAAACTTATTCTAATTGCTAAAATTTAATGTGTTTATCATGAAAAGTTTAGCTGTATATTATTATCTCCCCAAACTGCCTGTTTTATCAACTCCATTGGAGGATTATTCTTGCATATAATAGTTTGGAGACTAATAAAATATATAGCTATGACACAAAACATTTATCTGTAAAACTCAGCAGTCGTATGTAAGGCAGTCTTTTATTATATCTTCACTGGATAACATTATAGCTATCCACCGTAAAAATCTGTTTTACATTTCTAAAAGATTTTATTTTGCTTACAAATAATGTCTTACTGATTGTATTGTTGCGTGCGTACGGGTTCGTTATGAAATGAATGCACAAGTCCGATGAAAAATGAACAAAAATTTATTATTATCACAACAAAAATGCTTAAATTTTCTCAAATTATCATGCAGTATTACAATATCTCACAGTAGTTTTCTTTTAACTACTCAAATGTCAATAGAACGTAATTCAAAACAGCTAAAGAACGCTAATCCGCGAATTCGCTACAATCAACAACAATAGTTTTCTAAACAACAACAAACTAAGCAACTACTACAAACTGAGATGTTTTCCTCCTTTTATAAGATTTTAAAATCACGCGCTAGAATTTTCCAGTACTTTCTCGAAATCAAAAAGAGATATTTATTTATTTAATGCACGCGCTCTTGTATTTTCAATTTTCCGGCTTAGCTTTCTTTTAATATTCGTCACGCGCTGCACTGCGCGAGAAATAAAACCATTTAATTTATAATTGAACTAACATTAGCTTTTTAAATACCAAATTCGTAACACTGCCCCCTTCCCAAGGACTGCACGTCCCGGGCAGTACAATCCCTGGACAGGAAGCAAAACTTACAACTGTGGCATAAATGCATTAATAAAGCATTACATTACAATAATAAACAACATGAACAATAAATGCAATACATAAAACAAATCAAATGCTATCAAATACACATTTAAAAACAAAATGGACCATGGTCTTATACTATTTACAATTATTTACATTATGTACTATGGCCATACTAATGAGCTAACCTGTCGTAATGAACGACTTTAGATTTAGAGTTCGAAGACTTACGAATCCGAACCACAACGTCATTCAGCCTGTTTAGGACTGTGTACGGCCCATCCCAAGGTGACTGTAATTTCGGACAAAGTCCTTTCCGTCGAGTCGGATTCCACAACCACACCTTGTCTCCTTCGTGGAATTGATGTTCAGTAGCTCTTGTGTTGTATCTGGTCTCCACTTTCTCCGTCGCCAAGTTCACTCGCTTTCGTGCGGAACGGTGCATCACTTCAAAACGGGCCTTGACATCTTGGATGTGTTCCTCAGGCAATGAAGGCGCATCCGTACGGCGATCAAACAGGCGGTCACAAGGCAGACGAAGGTCTCGACCGAAGAGCATCTGAGATGGCGAATAGCTGGTAGTCTGGTGTTTCTTTTCGACCCTAGCATGATTTCGGCTGGTTCTTTCGGACAAAGCGTCGGCATTTCCAGGTGAGGATCCCTTCTTAGGATGGATAGTCATGTCTTTAGATCCTGAAAGCAATTTGTTGTTTTTCAAGTCTAAGGAAAAATTGTATTTCCTTAAAAAGTCCAATCCGAGTATGCATGGATCTGTAATATCCGCCACATATGCCGTGTGATGGTAGGCGGCACTTCCAAATGTGATTTTCACGTTTAACTTCCCAGTTATGTCGATCTTGTCACCAGACGCAGTCTGAAGGGTAACACAGGATGGCGTCCAAATAAGTTTATCTTTAAACTGTTCAGCTAAATCTTTCCTAATGATGGTAACATTAGCTCCTGTGTCAATGATCATACTGCAAGGAACTCCATCGATATTCCCATTGATGGACAGTCCGTTATTGTTGCCACTCACTGTATAAATTTTAAGAGCTTTAAAACAAGGTTTTTCACTATCTGGCAACCTCCGTTCCTTGATATGGTCACTAATTTGTTTGCTGCGTTGTTGCTGGGAAATGGTCTTATTTTCCGTACCTCGGGGTGTTCTGCAGTTTCTGCGTATGTGGCCTTCAACTCCGCAGTTCCAGCACTTTAGAATTAGTTTCTTTCACTTCTGTTCCGTCTCAAGCCACTGACTTGTCTGGTAAAATCATCTGCTTTATATTCCGTACCCTGGGGTGTTCTGCAATTCCGCCTTAGGTGACCTTCACTACCACATCTCCAACACCTTAGAGCCACTTTCTTCTCGCTCCTACTCCGTATCAAATCTTGACTTGTCTGGCTAAATCATCTAAACGAGCCATCAGTTGATCCACTGGCTCATGGACTCGCACAGCTCTAACTGGGGTAGCGATCTCTACTAGTTGCTTGCTGGGCTGCCTCGAACTTCATGGCGTACAACAGAGCGCTTTTTATGTCCTTTACATCTGCCATTCGAAGAGCTTTCTGTATTTCAGTATCTCGGATGCCGTCGATAAAGTATTGCAAGGACAGGATTTCCCTTGTTTCTGTCGGGCATTCCGAAAAGGCGAGATGGGACAGCCTTTCAACATCCGCGGCGAGCTCCTGAAGTGTTTCGGTAGGCTTCTGTTGACGAGATTTTAATTGGAGCCTGCTGTAGTCTTTTAAACACTTCTCCCCAAAGCGCCGGACAGAGCTTCGAAATCTAACCTTTTGTTTTCGGGAAGAGTCTGAAGGATATCCGCTGCGTCGGCTCTTAGAGAAGCGGCGAGATGACAGGCCTTAGCTTGGGAATCCCATCCATTCGCATCCGCCACGATAGAAAATTGTGTCTTATACACCTGCCAGGAGGTCTTCCCATCATATGTGGATAGCTTCAGAGGTGGACGAGCAGGCATTGGTAAGAATTTAAAATCATCACTCCTGCTCCCTGCCGACGCTATGAATTTCTTTAAAGTATCCATTTCTTTGGCAAGTGCAGAAACTCTCTCATCAATTTGTTCTTTTACAGAAGAAACTCTTTCTTTCTTTCTTCTTCACCGAAGAAACTCTTTCTTCAATATGTCCAACTTTATTTTCAACTGCGTCAATTCTGCCTTCCATAGCTTCAAATTTATTTTCTATTATGCAAGTAATTTCTCTTTTCATTTCTTCATGACCAGCTTGAACGGCTTTCATTTCGTCCTTAACGGATTCCTGGCCCAATTTCATTTCTCCTTAACGGATTCCTGGCCCAATTTCATTTCTTCCTTAAATGATGCTTGGCCAGCTTCCATCTTTTCTTGGAATGCAGCAAAAGCACTAATGAGCTGTCTCAATTGTTCTTCCATCGCTCTTGTTATTGGCATTCAAACCCCACTCCTGACACCAAAAATTGTTGCGTGCGTACGGGTTCGTTATGAAATGAATGCACAAGTCCGATGAAAAATGAACAAAAATTTATTATTATCACACAACAAAATGCTTAAATTTTCTCAAATTATCATGCAGTATTACAATATCTCACAGTAGTTTTCTTTTAACTACTCAAATGTCAATAGAACATAATTCAAATCAGCTAAAGAACGCTAATCCGCGAATTCGCTACAATCAACAACAGTAGTTTTCTAAACAACAACAAACTAAAAACACTACTACTACAAACTGAGATGTTTTCCTCCTTTTATAAGATTTTAAAATCACGCGCTAGAATTTTCCAGTACTTTCTCGAAATCAAAAAGAGATATTTATTTATTTAATGCACGCGCTCTTGTATTTTCAATTTTCCGGCTTAGCTTTCTTTTAATATTCGTCACGCGCTGCACTGCGCGAGAAATAAAACCATTTAATTTATAATTGAACTAACATTAGCTTTTTAAATACCAAATTCGTAACAGTATTTTAATGAGATATTTGAGATATTACATATGCACAAAATGTAATTGAAGGTTATTGATTAAGAGTCAAACTATAAATGGTATCTAAATTTCATTAAAAAGATTTTCATAATTTATATATGACATATATTATTCTTGATTATCATTCATTGCTATCTTTTTCTTGATTTTATGACTATGATTGAAATGATTCTGAATGAAGTTTTTTCCCTTGAAAGTATTGCATATAATCACTTAATGAAATTGGGTGTTGATTTTTATAGAATGTTGCATTATATTTAATATTTGTGATTTTGCAAAACTAAAAAAGTATACTTTGCAGCTTTTATAAGACGTCTGTTCTAATTAAATTATTTTTATCAGCTTTTGTAAAAGAAAATATAAAAAATGAAAATTTTCTTTTTAAAAATTAGTATGCTCTTTTAATCATTAAATTGATCGTATGCTTATATCAATTACATTTAAAACCATAGTTCTCTTGTTTGTAAGAGAAATTGGAAAAATACTGACCAAATGCTACATTTTCTGTTCAATAAAGATTTATATTTGCATACTAAGCAAATTGCCAAGTTTTCCGTAAACAATTGCTATTTAACTGCAAGTTGCTATTAAAATATCATATATAAATAAGATTTCAGTTGTGCTGTTTTAATGTTGCATAATTATATTCTAAACTTTTTACATAATACTTAAAGCTTATATTTCCATGTTACGTAAATAAAATATTAAATTATCTTAAACATTAATCCCAGTTTGATCTTTTTATTATTGATTTCAACTTAACCATTATTTTTGGGAGGGGTATCAAATTAAAATCAATTACATTAATATATCATGGTAATAGCTTTTTCTTAACAATGAGTGTAAAATTGCACGTACATATTTCTGTTCCAAGAACTGTTTGATATAATCTACATATTCTCCAGCCATTGTTTTTGAATGATAATTACGAAATTTCTTTCATGAAGTCTAAGTTTTTTTCATTGTAATGCTTAAATTTTTCTTCTTATATTTAGTGTTAGAATATTTTTATTTGAAAAATTATTAGATAAGTATGATAATATATTGCAATGTTTTAATTATTAGAGAACTTGATACTATATAAAGTTGCTTAGCTTTATTATAAGTATATAATAAATAACATATTTATTAATATGAAAATAAGTTTTTTACTTTGATTACATAAGCATACACATTAACTAAGGATTTAACAAAAACTTAATATATGTTGTTATTTTATTAATTTTTTAGTTATTTAAATTTAATAATTATGTTTAATTTTTTCTATTTAAAATTGTGAATTACAGTAGAGTTGACATATTGAAAAATTAGCTCATTTGTGTTAAACTAGTTTAAATCTTTTCATGCATGCTAGCATATTGTTTCTTCTCAGTTTCAAAATTCTAAAGTAAATAGATAATTTATTTAATATCAAATCAATAAAAAAAGATAAAGTATATATTTTTAAAGTATTTGAATTTACAAAATTTTATACCATTTGTTTTTGTAATTATTCAAAACCACCCAATTTCAAAGTATGTTAAGTATTCATATTAAAATATATTTTTAGATCAAGAAATGGTATGTTGTTTTAGTGTTTAACATTGCTATTTCTACATTATTAGTATTTTTGGCTTATTATGCTCACAAAAAATGGGAAAGATATGCTAAATATTGCAATTGTAACAAATATTTCAATGGCGGCTCTTTCGTGAGGCATGCACAGAGAGACTATAAACCCAAACTCAAAATTAAGTGACACAGAAAGAAAAGGAGGGAAATTAGTTTTAGAGAGCTTGTTCTTTTTTCCTAAGGCAGTCGAGCTAGAAAATCTAATTAATGGGAACTTTCCAAGACAAGTGAAATGAAAGACCAACTAAGAGGCTTGCTGAGTCAGCATATTTAATGAGTAATGAAATCTGAAGGACTGGTTATGCAATTTAGCAGGGACATTCATAATAAAATACTGATTTCTAATAGAACTATCTGTTATGTAAAATTACGCAATGTTACGAAAATGGTAGAGGAAAGGTATATTATTTAATAGTTCTAGATTGTATTCCAGACTTAAGTTATAAAGAAAAGCTGAACGAGATCAACAGAGTAATATCTTCAGGTTGATACTTATGTAGATATATATAAGCAATTTAATGAAACTCACAAGTAACCGTTCTCTCCTTTGATACCGGTTTCCCAGAAACCTATACATTTTCTGAAACTCATGTCACAAGTAAAAAAACTGTAATGATGTCTCTATTTCTCGTATGTTCATGCATTGTCTGCTTTCGAAGTACCCGATGGTCAAGTCCTACAAAAAGAATTGGTACCTGAAGGATGTACGGGAAAGATCCAGCCTCTGGATATTCATAAGTATGCTTTTTATTAGGGCGGATACTTGGATAATGAACGTGGAATGCACCAATGGATTACTGCTTCGATTTATTGACAAATGATAAGTGCGAGGCTGTCGCTTTTGTAAAATGTACCCATTGTGAACTGTCTTTCTCACTGTTTATTTGATGAAATGCACGTATATTGAGATCTCCATACCTGAAACAAGCATTTTAGCAACTTATGGTGTCATGTTTACAACATTTTACCGATATTTTGTGGTCCCTCTGCTCCTAAGATTTGTCAGTTTTCAGAAAATATATGGATTTCTGGAAAACCGGTATTAAAGGAGAGAAGGTTAACTTGTCAGATTAATTTTCAAATGTTGTGTCAACTTGGCACTCCTAATTACATTATTAAATCTGGCAAATTTTGCTCCCTTCCAAATCATAGTGATTTTCCCAACTTATTTGTTAAATATATACACAAGTTCATATTCTACAACCTTTACTTTCAAGGTTCTTAAAACTCAGAATATTCCAAAAACTTTAGAACTAATACGAAAAATAAATTCTTTTTGAAATAACCTTATTTTATATATTTCTATTGTGCATTTATAATTTTAATGTAATGAATTTTCAATCACAGCAATCCTGCATTTATAGAAACATCACGAACAGATCATGATTGATTTGATTGATGTTTATACCCTTGATGATTATAGCCAACATGACTTACAGATGTGCACAATTTCTGTATAAGGTAATATTATGTCTGTGGTATAACTTCTTCCCCAATGATTAAAAATATAACTCCTTACATGTGATAATTTTAAGAAAAAGTCATATCACTGGAGAGACATTTATGACTGAAAAGGTAAAGAATTCGGAATCAAATTTAAATTGCTTTTATTTTGTCAAAATGAAATTAATTTTATTCAGTGACAGATAAAAACCTTCAATTAGAATAGCATTCCTTGATCCTCGTGATAACATATCAAGTTATAAAAACAAGTCAAGCAAACGTCTGACTATATCAAAGAATATAAAAACAGTAAGACTTTCTTCAACTTCTGAAAAATTCACATAATATCTTGTTAAAAGCCATACAAATTATTACCTGAGTATTTTTTCATACCTCAATTTTACTACAGATCAGCCAAAACATTTTATTATGTAAAATTATAAAATCTTTTTAGAGGATGTAAATTAATACCAAAAAGGACATACAAGTAAATAGGCTTATTTCACTGTATGGCTAGGAACAAATCGAATTACAGACTTCTTGCAGTGGAATGATTTGCATATTAACACTATTGAATATTTTTCAGACTGTACTTCAGGCCTTTAAAACAAAGTTAAAAAAAAATATTTTACTTCAGATAATAAACATGTAACAGTGAGTGTCAAACAACATCACACATATTCACAATAACAAAATTCTCTTGAATGTTAAGAGATTGTAACAGCATGGAACGTTTTTAAGTGCATGACTACTGCTCCATCTACACCTTAATCAGTGAGCTGGCTCATCATGTACAATTCCATTGAGTCCATTATTAGTTGAATCACAGTCTGTAGAGCCATTTTTGATGGTGGAATTACAAGAACCATGCTCTCTTGGCACAAATGAAGTCCATTCATTGTTCTCACGGTCAAGATATTCAACAGTATTGAGGAAAGTTTTTCCATTAAAGCCACCTACAGCAAACAAGCGATTTCCCACCACACTTACGCCAACATTTGCACGACAGCATGTTAGTGATGGTCCAGCAATCCAGGTATCTGTCTCAGATTCATAGATTTCAACAGTGCACAAAGAGTGGATGCCATCATGACCACCAACTGCATACAGTTTTCCTGTAAAATTAATGTAAAAAAATTTTAAATATCAAAAATTGTTAAATAGAATTAAAGACTTTTACGTACAGGAAATTTCTCTATGAATAAAACTCGTACATTCACTCGATAAAGCAGACATTAAAAAAAGAAATGCATAAAATTTAACACCAAAATCTAATCAACATCGCATGCTTAAAATCCCTATACTGTCTCACCCTTACAATAAGCACAGTTGCAAATAAAAGTATCTCAGAATTCTTTCTAATTCTTGCTATTACCTTCCTTCTAAATCACATCACATGAGTTTGCAATGATTAGAATCCTTACACAATAATAAATTTAAATAAATGCGATTTATACATGTAAATCACCTCAATATAATATTTAAGAACACCAACATCACATGTCAGTTAATTCTATCACACTATAAGTAAACTGGTATACTGTTCTATAATTGGTGAGATGAGCTATCATAGTACACTTCTTTACAGCTAATTCGCTGTTCTATATTAGAAATATGAATTTTATACAAGTATTTAAAAACTTAATATTTATCAGTAAATTGTAACTAATTTATGTAACTACATACATTTCATCTATACTGATTTATTTAATTAGAAAGGAACTCTCAACATAACCATATATTTATTTTATTATGATTAAATTGTAATTATTTAGAAAATCAGAAAAAATTAAAAATCTTAGTAAACTTAGTTGTGTCTTGAAGCATTTAAAGCCAATGTCAGCATTAATATTTCTCTCCTCCACATCATTATTTAACTAATCTAAGGACCAAGTATTATAATCGAGACAATTGAAGTGATGGGAAGCTATACGTATCCATGAAACACCTCCCACAGTACATGATTAGATGGAAGGTGGTCAGAGCTTCGAACATCTCTCTCAGTAGCATTCCAGATGTACTTGATCGGATTCAGGCATCAAGGTCAGTGCCCAGGAAAACGTGCATATCTGTGGAATGTTCATCCAAACATTCAGATACAATTCGGGAGAGATGGTATGGTGCAATTGTCTTGTTAAAAGATAAATCTCTGCAGTGGGCCATCGAAAATGAACATACAGGAGCAGATGGTGGTCAAGGATATTCCAGTAATGTTCATCTATGAGAGACGATGTCACACACACCAGGAGTCCCATTTCAGTTCATGTCAACACTCCCCAGACAAGAACACCAGCTTGAAAAGTCCTCTGATGACATGAAGGATCCATCATTTCATGTGGACGTGTACTCCGCTATTGGCACTACCAAAGTTAATCTTGACTCATTACACCAGGCAATATTTTCCAAAATCGACGCTCCACTGGCAATTTTCCTGTGCCCCTGCTAATTGTTGCGCAATGTTTTGTGCAGTCATCAGAGGGACTTTCATAGGATGATGACTCCTGTACTGAGAGAAACACGTTCTGCATTTGGTAATATGTCATGGAGAAAGACGGTGAGCATTATATTTTTTTGCGCTTTTAAGATTTACAGTTAACATTGAACATTTTAATGACTTTGCAACTGTCCTTTGACTTGGTGAATTTTCTTTTAACATTAAAGGTCTTGCCTTTCCAACATTCCGTTTTTTTCTTTGATACATATTTGGAACAATTTTTCCACTTGAAGCTAAATTCTGACTTCCCCCCTTTGTTGTTCACAACATTATATATCATAGCTTTAGATATTGGAAAACCATGGCTTTCACAACGTTTTTAATAGCTAGATATGAATAATTTTCTTCAGCAAGAGCACAAACAATGATTTCATTGATTGCTTCTTTAGAAGTGACATTTTGCATAAAAGCAAAACTGCCAAGTAGCAAACGATTCTCAGTATTAGAAGGATATATTGTAGGCAGAACAATGCAGGATATAGTACGAAAGATTATTTTTCTTACAAAATTATTATTTTCTGATATTCAGAAATCACCAATACTACTAATGCAGCATAAAGAATATTTTCTCTACCTGTGATGTGTGTAAGTGATGCATGACAGTAACAGCTGTGCATTGATCATTTTACACAACTTAAATTCACAAATAGATTTACCAGTTTATTGACATTACTTGGTAATGATTTTTTAAAATTCTTAATAATATGACAAACTATGAACTTTAAGAATCAATAATTACCATCATAAACAGCTAATCCACAACCACGTCTTGCTGTATTAAGAGGAGCAACAACACACCATGTATCTGTCGCTGGATCGTATTTCTCAACAGAACTTAAACAATTCCAGGAATCGCAACCACCCACTGCATACACATAGCCATTCATCGCACCCACTCCAGCTTGATAACGACCTAAATGAAATTTAAAAAAATATTAATAAAATGTTACTTAAAACACTGAAGGATAAAGTCACGACACTCTATAATTTTGCTAAGAATAAAAAGTTAAGTTTTCATTATTAATAAAATGATTAACCTATGCATTATGCACCAGTGAACTCCATTGTGTTTTACAAAATGGTTTTATAATGTTGTTTAAATAACCAGCGTGTTTTATAATGCGTTTATAATCTACAATATAAACAGAACTTCCAAATATGGCAACTTTAAATGCCTGTAACAAATTACTACAACTGGCATCATTTTTCAAGTAAAATTTATTAAAATGAAAATGGAGCAATACTTAGCATAATCTTGTTCTAATCGCTCTTCAGACAGATTTCAGTACAAATATATGAGAACACAAAATGAAAATTATTCGAAAAAAAATTAATACACAAAATTATTTTTGAATATGTAAATGATCACTAACCCCTTTATACAGTTATGTCGCTATTGGTACAGTTTTAAAGTTAATCGATACAATAAATACAGAGTGGGGCCACCCTATATTTTAGATTTTCCTGGGGTTCCTTGTTATATATGTATTATGCATGGGCCATCCATTCTTGGCCTCATATAGCTATCACTGGACAAGGTGGGAAGAGCACTGATGAAGCATGTTTTGCATTGACTTTCACCTCATTTGGCAAACTGCCTTAACTGCCACAATGTCTTACATATGAAGCATATGAAAGATGTCATTCTGATTACAGTTCAGTATAACAGCTGCCTTTGTCATGTAAGCTATGCAGCACAAGTATTTTCAGTATGGCTTGAATGATATCCTATTTCCAAAGCACTGCTATTCAATATGACATAAGATCTTTAAACTGCCTTTCGACTCTACAAACTGTATTGTTAAAAATACAGAGCAATTTAAAGCATTAAATGTATTTACCAATTTGAATCTTAACATTTTTAACATTACACCAAACTCAAATTAAACATGTTGAATTTACAATATAATTTTATGAACATCTACAGCTTTATATCAAATATTACTTATCAAAGATGCTTTTAATGCCATATATTACATTCTGTGTGCAAAATTATTTCTTTTTTTAGAATACAACTGTCTACCGAAAATTCTCAGACAGATTTTCTTCCTGGCATATAATCATAAATGAGACAAAATTGGGAACGCAATTCCCAGGTATCTTGGATCAATCGTGCAAGAAAATTCAGCAGGTTCACCACAATGATCGAAGAAGAACAATTTCTTCTTGCAGCATGACAATGCACCTGCTCACATGGCTGGAGTTGGGGTGCAGTTTCGGAGCAAAAAAATTTTGCCAGTCCTTAACTTCTCTCCATATTCACTTGATCTGATGCTAAATGATTTTATTTTATTCCAGAAAATCAGAATTAACATGAAAGGTCAAAGTTATCATGATATAACTAACATTCAAGCCACAGGACTTTTCTGACAGTTTCATATGGTTGTACTTCTTGCTGAACAATACTTAACATTTTTTAAATCTCGCACACATCGAGCTTTTTTTAAAGGACTGATGATCTTTTTACTTTCTCTATTTTTGTTCTACAAAACATAAATCAACGGAAATAGCAAGCACAGACAGCTTTCGATAGGTAAAGTGTTAAAAGCAGAAGTTCTTTGTTAGTTATAGATTGGCGCCAACAAGCGTATTTCTTCCTCAGGGAGTAGACATATGGGAATCCAATATAGGTGATTTAGACCTGACATATGGCAGACTGCGCATTTTAAGATCCAGCCAGCGGCTTTTCTTTTGGTACGAGTCTTAATATTATTGACTGTGTATGGAAAGATTGTGGACATATAGCATCATTGTGAATAGTGGTAAAATTATTAAAAGTATAGCAAAGCTAGTGCTTGTTTGGATTATTCGTAAAATATTTCAACCCTCAAATGGGTACTAAAAACGTAAAGTTGATTCAGAGTGCCGTGGTTTTAATGATATATGAACCTGGAAATATTTTTTACAGTTGTAAAAGATAAACCAGTGTGTCTCATCTGCAATGAAGCTGTAACAGTCTTCAAAGAATATAACATTTCCCATCCAATCATAAGAATTCCAATTACGAATCAATGTTGAATATGAAAGAAAACAAAATGCAGAAAGTCTTTGTATAAAATTACCAGGTCGACAAAATTTTTTCAAGAAAATAAACAGTATCCAAGAAGCAGCTACACATGCAAGTTACATTGTAGCCTACAATATTGCTAAAAATAATAAAGCTCTCAGTGATGGGTAGTTCGTTAAACAATGCATGCTCTAAGTTTGTAATGTTTTATGTACAGACAAGAAATATAATTTTGAAACTGTAAGCTTATCTCGAAAAATGGTGACTTCTAGAATCGAAGACATTGGTAAAAATTTGACATCACAATTATAGGCCAGTTTAAATTTTGCTTCATAGCTATGGATGAAAATAAATGATGCTGCTTAATTAGTAATTTTTATAAAAGCTGTTGATGAGAACTTTGAAATTACCGAAGAAGTGACGTGCATGCATTCTTTAAAAGGAACTAGAACGGTATGTAATATTTTTCGTGAATTTCAGGAAGGGCTTTTAACTTTAAGTTACCTATAACAAATATATGTAATATTATGACTGATGGAGTACCAAATACGATAGGAAACAAATATGGATTTCTTGAAAGCTTTAATCAAAACTATCCTGAGAACAATGTTGTTTTACATCAAGATGCTCTGTGTAAATCTGCACTGAATATGAAACCTGTGCTTGATACTTGTCATGATACTTGTAAATACTATTCAATCTCGTGGGCTTACTCACAGGCAATTTCGAGATTTTCTTCAGTCCGTGCTATCTGAATACTCTAATGTACTGTATTACATGAAAGTAAGGTGGCTTAGTGCAGGATGTGTTTTCGAGCCAGTTTGATAGCTGAAAGAAGACACTGTGTCATTTTTCCATCAGAAATGGTGTTTTTCAGAGTGTGAAATGTTAGAAGACACAGAATGGCTTTCGGACTTTGCATTTTTCACAAATCTTCTTTATCATGAGCAACTTGAATGCAAAGATGCAAGGGGAAAATAAATTTATCGCAATATTTGGGCCTATCTCAAAGCTTTTAAACTAAAACTTAATCTGTTTGCTGGGCAGTTAGCTAAGAACGGCTAGTCTCATTTCCCAAGGGTTAATTCAATACCCTCAGTAAATGATTAAAAGCTTAAGAATTATGAAGATGGCTTGAAAACTGCATTTTGAGTTCAAACGCAGATTTCAAGATTTCAGAGCCATTCAAGCAGAATTGGAGTACTGTGAAGCAGTGAGGTCAGATTTGCAGCTTAAATTAATCGAGTTGCAATCTAACAGTCATCTGAAGCAGTTGTTTCTAAATAAGCCAAAGTTAAGACTTTTACAAATTATTACCAAAAGTAAGTTTCCCAAATTTAATATCTTACACTCAGAAAATCAGTGCTAAAGTGTTTTCAACTATGAACTTTAGAAAGCATTATTTCAGAAGCAGACTGACAGATGAACATCTAGCCTCGTTCCCTAGAATCAGTACATCTCACTTCGAACCTCAATATAAGGAACTTTTAAAAATGAAATCACAATTTCAATCATCTCATTAACATATTTAAATTGTAATACTTATATATTGTTTTTAAAATTTTAGAAAAATGTACCTTGGCCCGCGAGTAAAAAGTTTGCCTATCCCTGCTCTAGTCAATCAATCAACTGCAGTCTGGCAAAATCTCAAAACAAAATTAAACATCACAATATTTCTGGTTCAACTGCTAACACTATTGCCAAAATAGCACTGCAAAAATCCCAGCTGCTTTTCTTTTAATACGATATGATTCAGAATAAGAAAAAATAGCAAGCAGATTTCATGGCATGAATATTTTAGTGACCAATGAGCATTTCTGAAATTAAATGAAATTTATAATGCAAAGTTTTTGTAATATCCTGTAGCTGTATTCGTAGTTGCTTTAAACAAAAAAATAATTTTTTGTGTTTTATAAGATACTCACTAGCAATACAGAATTAAGAAAAAATTATATTTTTATTGGCTACTTATACTTAAAAATCATAATATTGCATTTCATCAGTTTTCTTCAACACACTCCAAGAATGTTGAATAGCATAAACATAATACACATATTGGCACTTCTCTGAAATAACCTGCAGAGAGGACCAAAATATTCTAGATCTGTGTTTTTCTTAGAAAAGAATCACCAAACTTAATTTAAAAGAAAAAAAAAAAAATTGAAAACTGAATATAAATTCAGATATAAGTAACCTTACATCATGAAAAGACCTAACATACCTGTGGAAAGAGGTGCCATATTGGACCACGAGCAACTTTCTGTATCAAAAATATCACAACGAGTAATCCCACGCTGACCATTCCATCCACCAATAACATACAACTTTTTATCCATACTACACACACCTACATTGAAAGAAAAAAAATTAATACAATCTAATCAAAACTACTTTGAAACATCTATAGCAAACAAATATTTAGCCCAATTTTAAGTTAAATCACTAATTAAAAAATTTTAGGGGGCATTATGAACACAGATTTAAATAAACATAGAAGGAAGTTAATTTGAAAGACAAGTTTTTAGCATCTAACAGGAACATACTCACCAAGATTCAATAAACAGTTAAATGAAAAAAAAATTTAATTCTTATAATGTAAATTTATATGAAACTTTCAAGGCTGTTAGGTTGGATGTCAAGCAAATTTATCTAAGCATTCCACCAGTGATAATAAACATCCAGTACTACATAAAACTTGCCATGTAATTTCAGTGTGTTCTACAACATGAATGTTTTGCTGCGAAGCTTCTGAGAATAACTAAGAAAATTAGCTAATGCAGCAGCATAGTAGTAAACCTAAAACCAGTTGAATGAAACTAGTAAACTAATGTTCTCATAAAAATAAAATTTGAAAAAATATAAAAGAAAAACTTTCAAAATATGAGGATACATTCTAAAAAATTCAGATTTTTTTTATCTATGAAAATAATTCGCACTAAAAATGAAAGGGGGCAACAAGCTACTAAATTAAATGTTACAAACAAAAAGAGTAGGTTGCATTGTATGCATATGGATATTTACTGATAGATAAAAGGAAAACAATGCTAATATTAATGAATCTAAAACCATTTCATATAAGTACTAGCCATGAAAGAGAAAAGTGAAGCCATTTGACAAGTGTCTGCGAAATTTAACACTCAAGCAGCACGAAATTACTTGAGTTTTATTTTGAACTGATGATTTTTTCCCGAAAAATCAAGGTGATCCTCAAATTTATTCAAGTGTAAAAGCATTTTCAATTTCACCTAGACAGCCTTAAAATCATCAGGTTCCATTCTGAATATTCCCAATGCTTCAAGTTTTAACAGCCGAGTACAAATCAAATAGCCTCAAAATGGTTAATATATGTTTAGAAATTCAGTTAAATCCTGTTTTAAAATACATACAAGCCAAATGCTCCATCAATAAAAAGCATGCAAATTTAGAGTGTGAGGATTCCAACTTATAAACACCAAAAAAAAAGTTGCAGCTGAAAAGAGTCTCTTGTAAAAATTTTCACATATAAAAGTATGATGGATGGTCATCTAAGGTGGGCACAGTCACTTCTCCATAATTTTTCACACATCTTTGCTGCAAAGCTGGTCACTGCCATGCTAAAACAAAGATCTTCTGCAGTGACATGAAGAGCTGAAATCTAATCACTAAGAATAGTGAAATTGTTGGGACTTTCGTGGGTGATCTTCACTGCATCGAGCTTGCTTCACCTATGTAGGATGACAGTGTTGGATATACAACCTGAAATTACACGAGAAAGGTAGAATTAAGTTTTTCAACTGCTCTTGTCCTCCAATCATCACACTCAGATGTAGCTAAATCAGCAGACTAGCTAGAAGATACAAATGCTACTTAATCCCTTTTCTTACCAATAAACATGTTACTATATATCTGTGAGAAATACAAAATATCATTAATGATATGATGCATATTTTGAACACGAGTATCTACTTAAAAGCCCGTACAACATGGGCTTTAAGTATTAAGTTTAACCTCAGTAGACTGTAATCACCATTCGTTGTAGAAATCATTTTTTATATATTTTCAATTCACTAGAAATAATAAAGTTATATAAATGTCATTTTCAAACTGCTTTAATGAATAAAATTACTTTTGACCAACTTTCAATCATTACTGTGAGAGATGCAACTGTTGAAGTTTATAGAACTTTCATTGCAGGTTAAGCAAGATATAAATGCAAATCAATATACATTTTTGTTAACTAAAAATCAGCTTTAGGTATCATTACGACCAAAAATTAAGTATCTGCCACACAAAATACAATCCATTTCACAGCTGAAGAAACAATCAATTTGAACTAAACTTTTCATATTTAATGCTAATGTACATCATTCATAACAGTTCACTTTCTAGTTCAAACTTAATTTAAAAGTTTTGTAGAACTTTAGTAGAAGACGAGATTCCTTCTTAGGTGAACAATACATTTTGCACTTCCTCCATGTCATAATTTGCAGCTTCATCGCAGTCTATATTCACATCACAAATAAATATATCGCTTAATCAATAGCAATATCGAATTTTCATTAATTTGCATGTTATGTTAGTAAATACATACTGTGCATTTGAAATTTTACCCCTATATTTTTTGAACATGTTGGCCATAATAAGCAAATCAATTTTAAAATAGGTAGTCACAGGCTTTTATAAATTTGCAAATACAGTTTATATATCTTCTCACTTTAAGTTACATGACAGTCATAAGAAACATGATCGAATTTACCACATCCTTTCAAGTTGTGTTTTTAATCATTTTACATTTAACCACTGACATTTAACACTGACAATACTACAACTATTATTACATTTAACCACTGACATTACTACAACTTCAAACACAATATGTTTGATTCAGGTATTTACTTTCAGCAATAACACTAATTAGCCTTTCTTATGCTCTAAATTTCAAATCCAAAATGCAAATTTTTGCATTATTTAACTCTCAAATTAAAGTAACAAAATTAGGAGAGAAAGATTCTGAAGTAAATCCTACTGCATTCTAAAAATATCAGTTATTTCTAAATCTGAACAGCAAGACAGTTTTGTGACAAATTATTATTTCAACATAAGAATATGTGATTACATCTTGCTTCCTAACAAACATTAAATCTTCACAGTTAATGGCACTGCTACTGCTACAGATAATCACCGTTTTTGAGCATCTAAGCTCTACACAAGACATCATGGATATGTTTGTTCACTTCCAAATATGTAAAACCTAGATAAAATAACAAAATGTCATTTATTATCAGAACATGTAAAAGAAAAATAGCCCCAGAATATCTACAGTATGATCTGAATATTTTTAACTGGTTGTTATTCCAGCCTCTGATATAGCAGCCAAGTTAGCCCCAGGATTATCGCAAAGTTCATATTTGTTTCTCATATACACTTTGTGGAAACCTTGTTCACATGATTGCTCTTAATTGCCCAACAGTAAATAAATTGACGTTCTGTAACAAATGATATTCTGAAACCACTGAACTAGTTGTCAAAAGGTACTCTTTTTCTTCACTTGCATCTCCAAATGCCTTCACCAATATATAGTTTTATTCAATAATCATTTTTGCATATTTGAATGGGAGGTAAAATATGACTTTCTTAAAAGGAAGACACAGCATCTTTTTCATTCTTCAGTAAATCAAACAATTAAAATTTCTTTTTTGAAAAAAGAAAATACATGTGGAAGACTCGGAACTCTTCTTGTGATGACCGACTGATGAATGACAGTGAATTTTTATCATTTAAACGAAAAAAGAAAATATGATAATGTGATTTACTCAGAACTCTTTTTGTCATGAGCAAATTATAAATTACTCACTGGCCATTTGAAGATGGTTTGCACTGGTTATATTATCAGTAATCTTGATGCTGTTTACAAAACTAAGGTTGTAATTAAAGAAGTGTGTATGTACTGGGTGTTTCATATTGAATGGGACAAAAAGAAAGCATACCTGTGAACAGTGCAATTGCTTTATTTTGATAATTCAAATTTACAGTGAAACTATAATTATACAAATTTCTATTATGGATGTCCTATGAGTGATTATATTATGGATGGATTCTATTATGGATGTCCTATGTCCTCTGGTGACACGTCAAATAGCTATGCAGTATTCCAGTTCCTTCAGCACTCATGATAGAATATCCGTTGTTATGATTCAAGGATCAAACCTGGGATCTCAGTGGCCAACAAAGCAATGACATATTGTTTGACCCAACATAACCAACTGAACAGCAGTCTATCCCAATCCAGCAAATCGGTAGACTACTTTTCAGGTAATGGCATATGTTTTATGCCAATGTGGGTAGCATTGTCTTGCTGCAAAATGAAGCCGAGAAAACCGCTTTCTATAACTGAAAGGAACAACCACTTTGATAGCATATCTTGGTAAGCGCACTCATTAATCAATTTTACCACGCAGAAAAAACAACCAAAAACGCAATTGTTGGAAATGGCAAAGGAAATGTTCACCTTTTGGAGAATCACTTTCATGTTCCATTACACCACGTGGATTTTCCATGCCCCGAAATTGTAAATTATGACAATTAACTTTGACAGAAAGGCTTCATTCATAAACATAAATCTGGTCACAAAACCACCTAATCTCCAGCTTATCTTGCAAATTCTCGCAGGAAAAGTAATGCAATGATTTGTTGGAAGGTTTTAACAACTGCACCATCTGAAAGGTATACAGCTGGAATTGTAGACGTTTCAGTAATATACGCCACACCATTACATGAGGCACACCAAGTTCTATTTTATGAGATTTCATAAAATATTTTCATTAATTTTTTCTACCACTTTGGTTTTAGATGCTATTCAGCCTTGGCTGGTTTTTCTTACATAAACAGCCCATGTTCTGAGACTGCTCTACACACTGTTTAATGTTGTGACGATGTGGTAGTTCTTTACCAAACTTTATGCGAAAATATTTTTGAATGCCAATAAATGAAGACATTTTAGCGTATTCCAAAACACAGTATACTTTCTCCTGCATGGATAACGATTCACACAGAACCTGATAACTTTAAATCATTAAACAAGTGAAGCTGAACTTTTATATCCTCAACTGTTTCTTTTCATTTACTTATTTTTAAAATTAGGAAACACTTTCAACATACCATTGTTGGCCTTGCATACCACACAAAACAATATGCGAATAAGAAAGAAAATATGCAACTGCATTTGGTCTCTCTTTCAAGTGAAAAACTTTTTTAAATTACATTTTCAGGATAATTAAAAATTTGATATGGGACAATTTTTAAGCAGACTCCTTTTCTTTTTCCAATTTTTGATGACATTTTTCACACTATTTATACATTACTCAAACATTTTAAGATACAAAAGATAATGAATGAGAAATTTTTCAGTCAACATAAGGTTAAACTTGTAGTTAATGAACTAACCAATGATGTATTAGTCACAGATACAAAGCAACTCTTCTAATATCAGATAAATAAAATAGTAAATTTTAGCCACACCTTTTTTCATACATATTTATGCTGCACATGTTAACATATACAAATGATTTTAAAACTTTTCACTGAATGGAAAATTTCCAATTTATTTATGAATTCTTGCTTTCAAAGTTTTCTTTCATCTCTGAATATCTAACCAAATATTAAAGTTCCAAAAATTCTTCCAAGTCAGGTTTTAACTGTTACCTAAAGACTTCTGTAAATAAATTGAAAAATTCCACAGAATCCCCAAAAGTTAAAAACAAAATATACTTTTTAGCAATTAAAATATATCCTTTAAGTAAATTAAAGTTGTATAGCTATTCATAAAAAGATTACAAATGTTTACTGGCTTATTACTTTTAATTCAAAATTTATAAAAGAGATAATCATATAATAGTTGACAGAAAACAGACAACATATTATTTTAAAATTCTAGTCCTTATAATAAGTAGGGTAGTATTGTTTAATTATATTTAAGAATTTTCAATTAAAATGTTAAGCATAAAAATATGGATTTATGATAATAAATAAGCACAAGTGAAATGTTTTAATACCAGGTTTTATAATGAAAAATTAAACTCCTATGATATACTTTTTAATTAATTAACAAGAAAAGAAGGATTTACAAACATCAAATCACAGTGGTTAGAATTTAGTTAGGTAAAGTCAAGTCTCACCTGCATGTGACCTAACAGCTGGTAAATTTGGTAGCTGTTTCCATGTGTTATTCTCTGGGTCCCAATATTCTGCAGAACTTAATTCTTTTTGACCATCACAACCTCCAACAGCATACACTTTGTTATTTACCACAGCAGCATTGAACCTTCCTCTAGGTACTTTCATTGGCTGCATTGTTGTCCACTTATTAGTAGAAAAGTCATACGATTCAACAGTCTTTAAACATTCTCCTCTATCATAGCCACCTACAAAAGATAAAATTATGTGTATATTTCAATCATCTGTATACCATATTTTCCAGCATATAATGCACATCTATAATTTCAAGCTACATTTTTCTAATTTTTAGGTATATTGCTGTATAGCATTCAGTCGATTCTTCACAAAGAAACCTTAAAGATGCATGTCTAATGTTCTTATCTTTTGAGGTCACTTATTCGAACACTTGTCCTAACATTTTGAAAAATGGTATACTGCACTGACAAGCAATAAGGGAAACAATATGTGTGTGGGTTAAATGCTTGAGAGAGTAAATATTCTGGCAAAGAGGGTGGATTGTATTCAATGCAGCTGTCCAAAAGAATGCTATTGCAAGATTTCCAGAAAAAGGGGATATAGTTTACAGTAAGAATGCACTTCCCTAAAGAATTAACTATTGCAGAGTACTTCCAGCTTGAATGTATTTCATGGAATTAAAAGTTAGATGTTTTCTTTTTCTATAGTCATCTGAAGATGAGATTTTAAAGTGAAATTTGAAGGCTTTAGTAAACCGCATTTGCTTCAGTTGAAATAACACTTGATCTAGTGCTCCCTTTAGTAGTAAATATGGCTTCTGTGAAAAGAAAGATTGACAGTGCTGGTTTCAAATGCAAATTCAGTCCATTCATTTTGCAAAAGAAAATGGAAATTGTGCTGCAGCAAGGATGTTTGGTGTTGGTGGGATAATGACTATTTAATTTATGCATCAAAATAATAATGAAGATGAAGCAAAATTTGATGATACGCCACAAGATACAACAGATAACGAACTCTTCATGTTATCCGATAACAATTTGCAAAATTTGAAGGAATCTATGCCTTCCCATTATTTTTGGAAAAAAAAAGAAAAAGAAAAAACGAAAGGTGCCATGACTGCTGGAAGAGTTGAAGAATAATCATGTATTATGATTTTCTGTATATGTCCCATCAAAATTGTCGGATGCCTCGTGTTTCTCGAGATTTTTAGCGTTCGATTATAAATAGCAGGATGTGAATTCACCTCAATGGCAAACAGGAATAAGATTTGGAATGACATGAATTCATGTCAGCCGCAACCAGGAACAGATGTGAATTCACATCATTTCAAATTCTGCTCCTGTTAAAACTTTGTGCATGCCAGTGGTAACCAGCAATAAAATCTGTATTAAGATGCTAAGAAATTATTTTCAGACAAACTAACTAAAGCCTAAGTTAAAAGCAGACTGCCCTGAGAAAGACTTGTGGCATTCTGAAAATCAAAAATTGGCAGTGGCTAGCAAAACAGATTTCTAAAAATCAAAAGTCATGTCCGGCTGTATTGCTATCCAAAAAGAATTCTAGCTGTCAGCTAAAAATATCACAAACAAGTTTAACCCCTTCGCGCCGACTGTCACGTATACATGCCAGCAACGAACACACTTATCTACCGGCCGACACGCAGGCGCGCCAGAGCATTGTTGCGTTTACTACCGACTGTCACGTATTTGTGCCAGTACCTTGGAATGTTTTTCAAACTATAATTTCTGCCACAAGATGGCACTGTATGTCCATATGGTTTCAGATACATGTACATTAGACTTTCTACTCGAAATGAGAGAAGCATGACTCACATACACATATTTTTGATTATATAAACAAACGGGGAACTAAATGTTTCCGAATGGCGTGATTTATCACGTCTCTTTAAATCACACTTTATTCGCACATGGTAGTTGTTTATTGTAAGTAGAAGTTTTATATGCGCTAAAGCGTTGAGTATTTCGGTTTACAGTTCAGTTTTTTAGAAAATAATTAGATCTTGTTAGACATGAATTCTTTCTGTTTTTACCGTTTCAAATGTCGAAGCGTCGAAAATGTTTAACAGAGCATGAAATAGCAGAAATGATGCAAAATATTTCAGATATTGATTCTGAAATTTTGATATTCTGATATTGATTCTGAAAGATTAACTGAAAGACATTTTCCAAAACTTTGTTCAGAAGAGACTGATAAGAAAATGAGACGACGATGCTTCGTTTGTTTACATTCCCGGAAAAATCCTCCAAAACGGCAAATGAGTTATGAGTTCAAGGAATGTAATGTAGGACTGTGTGTAGATCCCCGTTTTAAAATTTTTTTCATACGAAAAGAGAATTTTAAGTAATATATTTAGTTTTCAGATGTATAATGTTAAAAGTCATAAAATGATGAGTAATTAAAATAAAATGTGTAAAATATGCATTTAAACAAGAAATAAGGTAATTAAAGTTCATATATAAAAATATTTATAAAGCATAAGCCGTTTAAATACTCTATAGAGCATTATTAAACAATGCGTTGATACTTCGGAAATTTCATGGATTTAGGCTTAGTAGCAAAAATGCCCTTGGCCCTGGAGAGACACTCGCGGAAGACACTGCCGGCCTCCGCGATAAGCGCGCGTTTTCGCTACGCAGCTCGAAGGGGTTAAATGCTATTTATGTGTTAAATATTAAACATGCATTCTTTCACGCATGCAATAAATTGCATACATAATTATTAAGCATTATCTAAAAATTAAAACTTTTTAATAACAAATCTTAATAATAAAATTTAGATTTTCTATAAAAAGAATTATTTCAGATATCTGCATTTGAAGCTTACCACAGACTAGAAGTTTTCCCTCCAGTTCAGCTGTTCCCACTGCACATCTTGCAGAACTCATAGGAGGAACGACAGAATAGGTGCTTATTTTTTCCACAGATGAATTTCGCGAGGAAAGAGGACTGTGATTTGGAGTGTGAACTCTCTGCACGATTGATAAGACTGTCAGCTTCCCATATGCTGCTACAAGACCTAGCATACTATTTTCTAAAACAAAAAATGCCAGATAAGAAAAACAAAAGTTTCTCATATTTTACAAAACAATCCATACCATTTAGAAAAGAAGAAACTTTCTATGGACAGTACAACATTTTAGAATGCTTTGAGATACACTAAAAATATATCAACTGTCAGACTTTCTTTTTTTTTTTTACAAACTGTTTCTTAAAAGGATAAGTGAAAATCATTTTTCTTTCGTATGATTTTTGTTTTTTTCATTCTTAATAAATTAACCATTCCACTAATTCATCTTTTGCAATTCTGACTTGCTAGTGCACAACGTGAACTTACTTTCAATCTTATATAATCAGAGAAAACTACAATTACGGTATTAATAATTATAACATGTACAATGCTTACATACTACTCATAGCAGATTACCAAGTAGCCAATTTGGACTACTTCTAATTAGGTTATTGTGCTATTTATACCCCAGCATAATCACTTTATTAGAAGTTTCCAGAATTTCAGAATGTGTGCGTGTGTGTGTGATTATGGCAAAGCCTCGAGGGCTATCCGCCTAAGGGGGAGGGATAACTTCATGGAGGACTTTCTAAGGGAAACTGGCTCGTATACATGTTGCACATGAGGAAAACCACGAAAAACCCATGCAGTCAGCCTGTTTGCAGGATTCGAACCTCGGAACGAACTACCAGTGTTCAGTGACTTTACCACTCGGCCGCTGGTGGGCCCAGAATTTCAGAATGTATTCAACTCTGGACAATGATCCTAACTATTAATTTTTATATGCATTCTTTCACTGTATTCTACATTCTAATGAGTTCTGCAGATAAATGGTAATACTTTTTGTCTTTTAGATACATGGACTTGCACGATTTGTTCACAATGAAAGAATGTACAGTAAGATTCCTACAAGAATACAGTATTTTGCAAAATATGCTTGTAGGTAATAAAATCTTTAACTAGATTTTTTTCCCCTTTGTCTAAAAAATCACCAAACTGTGCTAAGGCGGTATATGCACGTACCTGAATCTAGAATCAACCAGTTTGAAACAATATATTTCGGTATTTCCAGATTAGAAGACTTCTAGCGTAGTATGCTAAACTAGAAGTTTATTTTGCATAAATGATTCAGGCTTTAAAGATTAGATGAAATTTAAACTCACAAACTAGAAACATTTAAATGTTTAGGTTAATATATAGGTTTAAAGAGTTGTGGTAAATCACCCCAGCTCTTTAAACCTATATATTCTTCACAGTGATTCCAATACATAATAAAGACAATACAAAAAATTACTACAATTCACATTTACACAATTTTATTGTACATTTACCAATTACATTCAGTTTTATGTACTTAAAACTCTAAAGATATGGGACAGCCCAAAAGAATTTAAATTCAGAATACATATTTACTCTTTTTTTTTTAAAGCCTGAAGGGGCATTATTCAAAAGGGTACCGAAATGGCCCTTTTTTTGTTAAATCACTATAAACAGCTGTATCACTTTTCAAATTGTTGCCACCTTATTGCCCTGCATTATATTAAAAAAATAATGAAGAATCTGCATGAATATAGGCATGTTTCTCACACTGTTTTGGGGGGGGGGGAATCGCCACTTTAGGCGTAATATAAAAATCTGAAAGTTTCAGATTAACCTTTTTATTAACCCAATCAGCATTGCAGATGGAAAATTACGTATAGAAACAGTGGCTTTCTTATTCCTTACACATGAAAATTTCTGCCAACTTTTAATGTATCCGATTTCAGCTTGGATGTATATTGAAAGAAAAGGAATCAAGATACAAAGTGAGAGAATTTTTTTAATATAATTAAGAAAATACAAATTATTCATGACATTCTAAGGAACTATGAAATTTCTGGGCTAAACCTGTAAAGATTGGAGGGTTAATTTTCTTAGTTTTATTATTTTTAACATTTTTCTTCACTATAACATAAGAGCTATCTATGTTGCATGCTTACACTTCTCATATGTAAATTACAACACATTTTTGCTATAAATAGATGTTAAAACGATAATTTAAAATGAAAAATATGATAAGATATTTACCTCCATTATTAGTAGTTACAATAAGTTTCCAATCTTTATCTTCTTCATCAGAGAGAGATGATAATGAAGAACTAGAATCTGATTTTGTATACAAAAACTGGCGGGGTTTTGCAGGCGCTTGAGATATTTTGCGTCGACTTTTTCCAGTACCTGGCACAGAAACTTTCCTTGACAACTTCTTATAATCTTGAATAACCTCTGAATCCTGTAGATCTCCATTTTCAATATCATTACAATCATGCAGAGTACGATCAGGGTTTAAATACAACATATGTACCTAAACAAACATAAACGTTATTCAGAAAAAAAAGAAAGTCTGAAAAAATAAGGACAAATTTTATATTATATAAAAAGTCAGCTATACAATCATTACTATAACATAATTTTTATACATGAAAACAATCACAAAATTTCATGAAGTTTAACATCCTTTCAGATAAAACTGTCATTCGGATGCAATAAAGACTTTTTCACAGTCAACAGTAAATACTTCAGAATGACTAAGTGAAAAAGTAACTTATAATTATAATTACAGTATAATTACATATAAGTATCATTACAGACTCCTTTGTTTACATATTTCATTAAGTTTACTGTGTTTTCTTTCTGAATTACCCTCGTACATTTCTGAAATTCTGATATAGGAATTTATTGAATCCTTGTATGGAAAATTTTCCACAGAGATTTGCCTTTCCTCAAGAAGGTATATTGAAAGCGAGGAAGAACTACTTAAACAAACTAACATTATACGCTGTGACCATACAAGTCCTTTATTTCTGTAACCGTTGGTTATGTAGAATGTGGGCTATAAATTTCTGGGTTATATAAATAAAAATGTGGTTATCTTACCAAATTTTTATCTACTACAATAAGCATATCCAAAAACATATTACAGTCAAAAGTCGTTAATTCGGACACCCATAATCCGGAATGATCTATAATCCGGACCTCAAAGCTACAAACTTTCTGCGCATGCGTCGCGTTCACGCATGCGCACAGGCGTTTACGAGAGCGCATAAGACCCTTACAGCTGCGAATATGTTTGTGCGCATGCGCGTTTAATGTGTAACGGAGTTATACGGAGTTATACGCTAAGCTAAAGTTATCTAATTCAGTTAATGTTGCAGATTGCGTTGTTCCTTAATCTTCGAACTTGATCCGATCCCGCTTATTATTTTTTGCAGACTGTTAGAGCAATTTTATAAAAGTAAGCTTGAACTTTCGATTATGTCAAATAGAATTTCCGATATATATTCACTACAAAGCGAAAGTATGTTTTGAAATCCAAAATCTGTTTATCAATTTTATGCTGGATTGGAAGTTGATCTATCAGCACTATCCTTATCTTCAGAGCAGATGTTTTTATTTTATTTGGTTTATAATTCCACACTCCATATACTCTACTCCTCTTTGATATGATTTAAATCAAGTTCCTGTCATTATAATTCGATATGATTTAAATCAAGTTCCTGTCATTATAATTCGCTTCAGATAGTGAAGACAGTGACCCAGAGGTTATTGAAAACGAAAACATTTCGGGTATTCTCAACACAGCAATTATAGGACTTGAACAGCCGAACTTTGTAACTAAAAAAGAAATTATGTCTGTTTAATAGAATTAAAGAGAAAGTATTATCACATGAAATGAAGCAACTTACATTGAAGGAAATGTTTAATAAAGTAAAGAAATAAATATTAAGCTTTTTCTTTTTGTAAATTTTGATACCCTTTAGATCATAATTGTTCTTTATTTCATAAATTACGGTTTCATATTTTTAATTTTGTAATTTTTGCATGCCATCTTACCAGATTTAAACTGATGATCTATAATCCGGAAAAATCGATAATCCGGAATCGCCGAAGTCCCGACGAGTCCGGATTAACGACTTTTGACTGTATTAATGATAGTGTCAAGATGGCCACCTTCATGTTTTTGATACCCTTCCAGTCTAGCATGAAAAAGATTTTGGAAAACACGTTGACACATGTGACACAAAACTGTGCTTACCTCAACACAAATATTTTAATTGGGTTGTAGGACCCAGACTCCTTGCAATCCATGGGATATCTGATTTATTGAAGAATATTTCTTTAACCACAGATATGAACATCTTACACAACTTATATCAACAGAATCTTATAAATGTGCAGTTTGAGATCCAGTTTCAATACCCACTGGAAAGCAGTACATGGTATCACCAAAGCTGCAGAACTTCTGCAAAACATAATAGGTATTTCTTATAGACTATGCAATGTATCAGAATAAATTTGCTCCAGTTTCCTAAGCCATGATTTAATTACAACTGGAGCACTGATTAACATCGCATAAAAATTTGTCCCCATTTTCTGAGCCATGATTTAATTACAACTGGAGCACTTAATAACATTACATAAATCATAGTATAACTAACACAGACACTGTACAGTAGAGTGGGCTAAAAACCACTTTTTTTTGTCTGTTGCTACACCCCAGAAAAGTACCTCATCTCCTAGCTATGTAAAATGAAGAAAAATGTCATGTCAAAATGCATCTTCTGTTCACACATCACACTCAAAATTTTGAAAAATAACAAAATTCTGCTGTTATTCAGTAATTATTAAATTAACTGCCGATGAAATGCAGTTGTCTCTAATATTACGTTTGGAGCTTGATGAACATAAAAAAATGTTTAAAATCTGCAATTTCAAATTGTATATGTTTTGCAGAAAAAGGAATTTTTTTCAGGGGGATAAATATATTAATATTCTGTAATTTTTGATAATTTTACTTTTTAATTTTTAGTAAAAAATGAATACATTTATAATTTTTAATTCTGTTATTCAAAAGAGTGCACCTTAAAGTTAGATGTTTGGAAAAATTCTAACATAACACAGCCTGACAGGACAGTCATCTTAATTAAACCATTATAGTGCCACCACATATTTGATACACCCTTCTACAGTTTGGGTGTGACAAAAGAAGATTTGGAAATCCAGCTTCGACGTACCAGTCTTTGACAGATTATTGATGTCCTCATCTATGATGTTCCTTAATGGTAGAGGAGAGAAATTGCAACTATCTCCCTAAATCTAATTAACATAGTCTGTTCCTTAAAAGCAGAGTTTTGACAAGGTTAAGTTCCAAATAGCCTTTCCCATGAAAAGTGATCAGGCTTTTAACAGCTGGCAAAGACTAGTTCTCTTGTATGCCTTCTTTTATTCACAATTATTACAAGAATCAAATTTTTGGAATGAGCAAAGAAAGAACTTTCATGAATTGACGACTTGCAATAAATTTTGAGTTATTTTTAAAGTTGTCAGAGCATCACGATAGCTATCCTTCGACCTTTTGCTGGCTTTGGTTTTCCGTAGAGTTTAAGAACTCAATTCACTTTCATCAACCATACTGAACGTGAAAGCAGACCAGGATCACAAGCTGCTAAATCTTCTAAAATTCTATCTGGCTTTAAGGCTGCAGAAATATCAAGTATTACCTGATCATCCTTTAGTACTTTTTTTCAACTTAAGGATTGGGGTATTCAACATGTTCAAAGCAAACCAGCAGAAGTTTCTCACAGCAACCAAATCTTTTCCAAATCAGTCCACTAAAGGCTTTGAACTCTGTGGGAAGAATATCCAAGCGATGAAATAGATGACAGGAAATGCAGTTCATTAAAGTGTAAGAGAAACACACACAAAACCCCCTGCAGTGGTCTCCCAATGTACAATTTGATCTGATGGATTTGATACAATTTGGTTTTCCATAGAGTCTAAGAACTCAATTTTCTCTCATCAACAATACTGCATTAATTATACATACAACAGCATTAATTAGTGGTTTGAAAGATGATGTCCCATCGCTCCCAATCACATCAAGTTCTTAAAAGGAAATCTCACATGTAGTTAAATAGGAAATTATGAAGTTGCATTTTTAGCAAGTCTTAATAGAGGGAGAAACATGACCGATATATTTTAATCTTGGTTATCTTTTTCAGTTCTTCAGAAATACTTTGAATGAATTTTAATTACCATCGTGTCATTTTTTAAAAATTCTTTACCTCTCCCAGTTTATATTACATTTATTAAAAATTTACAGTAATTTTGACAAAAACAATATGAAAAGTATACCTCTAAAAAACTGACCAAGGAAAAAAACTGACTTTGAGATAAGTTTCATAAAATTTTAGGGGTCATACATAAGTTGAAAAATAAAATATATAAATCTGTGCACACCAAAAAATGAAATGCAAGTTTAGAAAAGGTTTTATAAATGTTTTCAAAAAGGAATCTTACTGACCCTTTTATAGAACTCATGTTCTAGAAAATACCATCAGGCTTCAATTATTAGCATTTAGCCAACTCATAACATTATTTGTGTTAAATTACAAGTGAAAAATACTTGCAGTCCAAAGAATCTTTATGAATTAAAATTGTAAGAATTTAACCTTTAAGAAAAACTGAGGAGCTTGACTCAGAGTTTTGAAATTGGACAATTTTTGAAAATTTACACAATTTCATATATACATTTAAATAGTTTTACTCCATGATTTGTAAAATTTAACAGTTAAATTAATTTATGAAATTTACTTTTTGGGTTAAATCATCAATACTGATATCTTGGTCATCAGTTATAGCCTTAACCCAATCAAGAACCATATCACACATGTGTTTAAGATTAGTAGCAATCTTCTCTTCATGGCTGTTCTGCAACAGTTCTACAGGAATGGTTGGTAAAGCAAGAAGTTCTTTCGATTTTGCAACTTCGGATATCTGAAAAGCAAAATACAAGAGTTTAAATAGCAAATATGAAAAATGGTGTTTCTATATCTTCATACTGTGAAATCAACAGATAAATTTTAATAAAATATGACAAACATAAATTTCAGTTATCCTCCAATGGAAATGCACCTACCTTAAGAAGTACATAAAGATTTTATATACTTTAAAAATCATTCATTATCATATTACTTATACAAAACTTGTTGCAAGTTTCAAACATTAAAATGCTGTAGACCAAAGGTTCTTAACAGGGTTACTGAAAATACGAGGATCAAAAGGTCTTTAAAGAGTAAAGAGGACGCCAAATATGCACCAGCAATCTATTGGCATAATAAAAATCCATTGATTACCATAAAAAATGTATTAATAAAATTGTTTATTAATATAAAGCTATATTACATAGTAAGGAATATATACAGGTATTATTACATACTAAGGAAAGAAGGCTCCAGTCAGGAAAGAAATATGAATAAGTATAAGGGAAAAATACACTTAATTATTTCATTCATTTTAAAAATTATTTTTAAGCAAGAACTGAAATATAAGAAAATAAAAGACAAGAGAACACAATAAAGAAACACGAAGACTGCAAAACTTGAATGAAAAATAAACATTTTGGATATTTTTAAATGGGGTAGTATAAAAATTAATTTAAATTAACTTTATGCCAAATGTTTAAAAAAATCAACACACTAAGAGCGAGCATCATATTGATTAAAAGTGAACATCTATGCAGTTAGAATGAACATTTGTGTAGTTAGAATATATCCTTTATTTCTGAAAAACTGTTTACCTCTGAAAATTAAAAGTAATAAGAATACAAAAATAACAAATCTGATAAAACCATTTTTTCAAAACTTTTTTATTTATATCCTTAAATCTAAATTTTTAATTTTAAGCTATTTATGTGTGTTTGGATTACGATTGTAAAGGAAATTGATGAAGGAAACCATTTCTATAAAAGAGGTCGATGTAAAAAAATTATGAATCTCTGTTATAGACCATTTCAAGAAACATGGCAAGCAACAAGACTTTTTATTCACATTGAATAACTGCAAGTAAGCAATGCTGTTATTTTTCTAGGCTAAACTGCAACAGGTGCAACTGTTTTAAAGATAGAACAAACTAATTACACTACAGTAAAATATGAAAACATTACATCTTTAACTGGTGTGGTCACCAAAATGATCATTTGATATAAGAACAAAATGATAGCTTGACTTTGGATCATGAAGTTAAATTCACGTGATGCATTGTCCAGAACACAAAAGGGGAGAATCTTCCATTTGCAATACTGAATATGGAATTCCGTGTGGCAGCTTATCTGATTATTACTGTGATTTTGGCATTACACTAATGCAAGCATTATACTTCTCTGCAGTTGATAGTACAATCCAATAACAGCTCAAGAGTATGAGCTGAAAAGCAAAAAGGAATAAATTCTGAAATAAAACTTTCTTTAACCAGATTGTTCAAAATCATTTTCCAGTTTGCAAATCTTTCTAAGTATATATAAAAGATCACAGACAAGTCTTTTCAGACATATGCAATACAAAAACATTTCTGAGCAGATTACATACGGATTGTTAATGATCATTCTGCAGAAGATTTCTGGCCTTCATTAGTAAAAGTCTTCTTGCACATGATGAATTCTTTAACGTCTCGTCTCTGCATAGAACCTCCCAAAAGACCATGATCATTTAATGCTCCTACAACTGAAGAGGTCCGCTTGTACCTTCTTCAATGAGCTAAACCTAATATTAATGTGCATTAAATTTTCACTTTATCTGACATGATGTTTAAAAAATGACCATCATTTATTTCTCACTACAGATTTATTACATATGCAATACATACAGGAAACTGCTTAAGATACTCTTAATGCACATATAATCCAATTGGATTTCTACTAATAGGCATATGATCACAACTTCCATAGCATAGAGGAAAAAGCAGCAGAACAGTCTACGAGGTTTCTTATATTTGTAAACTTGCATTACAGAACCAGTTTAACACCTTGAGCGTCCCGTCAGTCATTTTTGGCTGACACTCGACTTTCCATTTAGGCTGCATCAGCCATCTGTGGTTGACACTCTACTTTCCGTTTAGGCCGCGTCAGCCATCTGTGGCCGACACTAGACTTTCCGTTTAGGCTGCGTCGACCGCCACTGGCTGACAGCATGTATCATGATTTATAACTATACAATATACACTGTTTTATGGAATTACAGAAAAAATTATTTAAAATTTACTTAATTTTGATTCATTACAGGACTAATGGATTTCATTGAAACACAGTAAACGTAAAAATGGTTCTCCCTTACTGCTATTACAAAATGTGACAACTCTCAGTCTTTTTTCTGGCCATTACTCCTGACCCTACAATACCAGCGTTTTAAGCGGCGCGCGTGGCCTGAACGGGATTGCCCAAGAAATATGCGTGGCGCTCAACGTATTAATTTTTCTGTCTTTTTTGGACAATTATTCACCTAGCTCTTCAAATGCTTTCACAGAAAACCTTTTATCATAATTCTTCAGATACACTGAAAGCTTTATTAAAATATTCTGAGGTCTCTAGTGCTCACTTCCGTTTGTTTTTGTAAGAGGGAAACAGCATTATGAGAAGTTACAGGATAATTTTGAGATTTGAATTGGGGCTAAAGATATAGACCTGGTGGGATCAGCCAGTAACCAGGCTATGAACACATTTAACAGAAATCCTGAAAAAGAAAGGAGGCACAGTACTTACACGCAAATATTAATAGAAATGATTATATCTCATTAACCTGTTCAGGACTTGCCTGTCACATGTGCACTGCCAGCAACGTTACCTTAAAATCGGGTGTATCATAATATATGAATCAAAGTTTAATTCACTCAGTGGTTGGAGGTACCACATGACTTTTAAATAGAATAAATTAGTATTTTTTGTTGCCATTAGATGTAGCCGTATATCTGTTATGGGGAAATTTATAGAAAACAAAACATGTTAACCTTTATTTCTATGCAATGTTTTATATTTTGTTGGGTCACAGGTTTTATTTATTGCTCTTAGATTTTTACTCCTAGGATAAATATTTTTATAGGGAAATGAATGATAAATGAGTCTTTTCTTATGCTGATGACAATGATGATATTTTTGCAGAAATAGAAAGTGATAGCTATAGCAAGAGGTAAGTCAAAAATTATATGTGCTCAGTTTTATGAAAAAGATTTTTAACAATTTTTTTATTAACATGTTGGATTAAAATCAATGACTGGCTGTTTTTGCCATATATTTAAGGTAAGTCAAAAATTACATTACTCTAGAACTGACATTTTCTTTTAAAAATTTTATAAAATATGATAAAATTTTTAATTAATTCTGATAACTGAGTGCTCCTTCCATAATGAACCAAAAATTGGATTACAAATTTAATTTATGCAAAATGTTTTCCAAAGTTAGGCTTACCAGTGCGAATTACCTGTTCCTGCAAGAGAATGTATGTATCTGGTTAGCACACTGTCCCGAGAGAACGTTTCAGGGAATGAGCTACCCATCACAAACAGATTAAAAATTAAGACTAGCAACACCCAACTTTCATATATTCTGTTATCAACTACAATTATTCAGATCTTGGAACTTGAAAAGAGATATGATTTTTTTTATTTTCCTTCAGTCATTATCAGTGAAGTATAAATATGAAATATAAATATATGTGTGTGTGTGATGTTTCTGAAGCATAGTTCGTGATGGCACAGTGGCAGGCTGGGAAGCGAACACAAAAATGAATTATACGAATTAACAATTTTTTTTCCCACGCATATAAAATCATCTCAGTAGATACTGATCCGATCATAATGAAATCCAATACATTCCTACAATTCAATCATAATGAAATATGATAAATTTTTATGTATATTGGTTTTTAACAAGAAATGACATAGGCAGTTGAAAAGAAAAGCGGCGAGACAAGCTACGATTTGTTAATTTGTGGTTGTTACATGACATAGAATGATCTCGAATTTGGGAGAACAGATAAATTTAAAGAGAAAGCACCAAATATGCAATCATTACTTTTGAGGTTGCCAATTATTCTTAAAGCAGCTATTGTATTTTCTTATATCTTTTATATGTTTCATGTAACATATTAATAAACATATATATATTAAAGCAACATAAACTCATGTCATCACTTGTATTTAACATTTAAATATTTTCTAAAGGATACACTTGAAACAATGGACAAATGTAATGACTGAAAGAAAAAATGGAGCAGATGCAAAGCAGAACATTAATTTAAATAATTGCTCTCTACTTCAATACAACTTTTTCAGCATCCTGGGAACTGTCTGAGTTGGTGCATATTTGCTTTTGAAGATCATATTTCTGCCAAGCCCATATATTGGTGACTGTATCAGGACAATAACAAGCTATGTGAAAGCACAATCCCACCTAATCCTACCTCAGTATGTGACAGCACCTACATAAATCTGACATTTTTCTGCATTTTATCCACAAAACATGATCAAAATTTCTGAGTTTCAGATATCTTCACTTACTAAAAACTTAACAGAAAAGTTTTGCTCCAAAGATCGAGGCAATTCCTGCTCACCCATCATTTCCATAGTAGTTACATGTTGCTGACACATCAAACTGACTCCAAGGCAGAGAGTCAAAAGGCAAATATTTAAAGTCATTGACTGAGCTGTAAGAGTCACTACAGAAAAAATTCAACAGTCCAAGTCATATATAAATGCCCTTGCAATAGCCCAAAATTAACTACACAAAGATTTGCTCAACAAAATTTGACTTCTTTGTTTAACAAGTTTATACAAAGTCTTGTTCTAAACTTGCAATACAACTAACAATCCACAAGGGAAAAAAAATTCCTTTATTTGAAATCTCTTCCTTAAATCAAGAATTAAAAGCTTATAAAATAAGAACTGCTTAATAATCATTGTCAATCTTATCTTGAGAAGATGAGGGGGTGTGCCCTAGAGACAAGAAAAAACTAACAAGCATGGTCCATAGGAGGGTAACACATTCCTCCATCACCAAAGTATGTGTGAAACCGGTCAAGGATGAGTCCTAGCCAGCAGTGGCAGCCACATCTCAATTACCAACCTGTATCCCATACCTAATACAAAAATCTAGATTTTACCTTTCAGAGACTGAGTTATATTTGTGCAATCAAACATATAAATTTTATACTTAACAAAATTAACTCAAAAAGAATATTAGGGATAGAAAAACATAAGGTCTAGCATTGAACACAAAAAAACAACTTATTACAGCTACCCATGCTCGTAACTGCACAGACATACAGAGTACAAAAAAGTTAAAAACAGCAGTTTAAAGCTTACGTTCTGGCGAATGAAGTTATCCACTTTTATCAGAAGATCAGGGTTGGAAGCTATGCCAGGAAGCGATCGTAAACCTAAAAATAAATATATTATTTTTTAACTATTTAAAAAGTATTTATTATTATGCACTTACTTATTTTAGCCTTTGATTTCATAATTTTCCATTCATTTGGATGGTAAAAGTATGTAAACAAAATAATTTACCCAACATTAATATATACCAAATGAAACAATTAATGGCCAGATAAAAGTGGTCATGACACTCAGGAAGTTCAAAACATGTTTAAATTATTATTATTAGGATTAGAAATTGTCCTAGGAATTATATTAAAATTCAATTTAATAATATTACTTTCATAAAATTTTTAATTATATTATAAAATAAAGATGAATAAATAGATGATTAAAACAGATGAACTGTAATCTACGTAATAAAATAGACATGAATTCTACTATTTGATTTCTTTTCAATACAATTCCTAACAAGTTTCACACAGCCTTCTCTTTTTTCTATTTGGAACAGCACTAACCGACAAGAATTAACGATGAACACATACTGAATTTAAAATACTTTAGCAAATAAATACATTCCAAAAGATATGGGCATCTTCCAGTTATTTTAATGAATTGATTCAAAATAGTAAAAATTGAAAAGATTAGTACTTTCTATACAGACATACCCCAACATGCAAGATAAAACTTCATTTATAAACTTTCATGTCTAGATATTTCCTAAAATTCTATTTATGCAATTATGAATTTACTTTCATTATTTGAAAGTAAATAATCAAAGCAATGTGCTGCAAAAAAGAATTGAGGTATTTGTGTTAGTTCTAGAAACTAGCACCTCTCATCAGCTAATAGAACTGGATAAAAATGCTAAAAACATTCAAAAACATAATATACATTGATTTTCAACTCACCAATGCAATTATCTGGAGTCATATTTTCCACAAGGTATTTGCCACATTGCTTTGCAGCTGAAAACATACGAAGCTTAGTTGCAGCAACATATGTAGCTTTTACCAGCTTTGGAGGAACCTCAAGCCTTTCAAAAATTAAAATTTATTACATTAAAAAAATTATACACATTGAAATAAATCAGATAATCTTATATAATAAATAAATGAAAATCGTAAAAATGAGAATCCTAAAAATTACTCATGAGGGGTTATAATTACCTGCCTATATATGCATAATCCACCAGGCATTCAAATGCCTCAAAATCAAAAGAGCCATTCAGTTTATATTGGTTCCTACTGCCTTTTGTTTCAGCAGTAAATAAGTCAAACAAATAAGGACTGGCACAAGCTAAAACAGCTCTGTGTGCATATACTTCTCTCACATCTTGAGATGCTCCAACCTAAGCATATAAAAAAAATTAACAATTACCAAAGAAAGATAAATTGAATACAAGCTTCATTTTTTCAAAGCACTCATGATGAAAGCATATTTTGAGCTTATAGCCCCCCCCCAAAAAAACCACAATTAAAAATTAAAACAGTTTATTCTTGGTTTATTTTATATCAGTCCAATCATTTTATTAATATGTTAAACATCCAGGCTGTTTTCATCACAGTCAACCATGAAACGGGCCACTTCGGACTGCATACTGCTTCCTCTCCACTTGCAGATGAGCTGCACTTGAAGGCTTTACTTTTCCCTAGTCATGATAAATACCGTTTTGGATTTGTATCCTAAGTTCACTCATAGTTCCCTCTCCCTGATAGAAGATAGGAAAACAAAATATGAAGCCTAACGACACCTGAACGCATAATGAATCTTCAGTTACACACAAGTCTAGTCTAGTTTCGTACAGTTAAGATTTTCATGAAGTGCTTTGTTGACCGGAAATTCCTTTTGGTGGGGGCTGGGAGCCTGAAAATGAATGAGTGGGCAAGTGATACAACATGCGAACAAATTTTGCTGCCTAGACATCATCATGGCTAAATACTGCATGCATCCAAAGATGTTAATTCATTAGAGAATGAGCATATGGATAATGTTATGAAATGTACAGGCGCGGTAAGATGACTTCCCAGCAAAGCTGTTTTATGGTTGCCATAAAATGGCAAGGGAAGGCAGAGTTGCCCCATTTGGCGAGAAATTGCCCATTTGGCGACAAAATTGGCAATATGCCATGGAGGAATGGAAAACCTTCTGGAACAAATTCTTACCGGTTTAGCCCAGAATATTCTCGAACACAACCCAAAAGCTATATAAACCCTGCTGGTCTGCATTCAGAAAGTGTGAGATAGTTAGTCAGTCTTTGTGTAGTCGATCGAGTTGACAGCCGGGCAGCGAGTGCTGAGTGGGTTGTCGAGTGCACCGAAGGAGCCTCTTAGTGTACCGTGGTTTGTGCATCGTCGAGAGAGTGTGTCGAGCTCAGGGAATGACTGAACCAAAGAGTCGGGAGCTGTGCTCTGTGTGTCGTCGAATGAATCGTGAGTTGTAGCATGGAGAGTCTCAAGAGTACGTGGGTTTCGTGAACGATCGAGCAGGGTCAGGAGCTTTACTCTGGTGCTTTGTGGTGAAGCTGTCTTCACAGTGATAGCCTGACGGCTGTGTCGCTGATTGTTCCAGCATGTTTATAGTAGATCTCCAACAAGTGTAAAAAGTGACTTCGGAGCAGTCCTGATTAATAGTGGCCAAGTAAAGTGTACTTCAGTGGATTTGTATCAACTCCAAATCCACACGAAACCCGTACAAATGTGAAAGAAGAAAATAACGTAACAACTGGTGTCAGAAAAAAAAAGTAACAATAATAAATAATACAACAGGTAATCGAAAATGGTTCGATCTAAGAGACCTAACGTTACAGCCTTTGTGAGCTTACGTGGTGTCGATATAAATAACATCGAACTGCAAAATTGTCTTGACGTGGAAGACTTCTATGCGATACTGTTATGGAAGAAATGCTTCAGAAGATAGGTGAATGTACATAATGTACACAGTGCAAACAAAACTTTAATGTGCACAATGCAAAAGCAATCAACAAGTACTTCGATGCATATAGATGGTGTGTCTTTACAAATAAAGATGGAATAAAGTGCTTATTTGCGTGGTCAAATATCCATGCATAAATTTATACCAGTCCAGGGATCTGACACATATGTTATCATCCATTCCTACACAAAGTAATCAGCAGGAAACGATTCGAGAGCCTCTTGAATGCTACATTTTACAAATAATGAAACAGCGGATGTCTCCAGTGGTGGAAAATCCAGCCAATTATCTATAAGTTAAATGAGAATTTTAAAAAACATTATCATCCAATGAAATTGATTTATATTGATGAATCAATGATCCCTTCTGACGAAGTAAACATGATGCCAACGAATATTGCTAAGAATTTGTGCAAAATACATTCCATTCCACAAAGGCCCTACACTTTGCACTTGCAAAGACCAAAAACTGTAACTAAGCCAAAAATGGTTACAGATTATTATGCAAGGGAAAAGTCTGTTGATGAAAAAAAGAAAGGCAATCCACATAAAGTTATTCACCAAATGTAATAATATAAATTCACAAATGCTAGGTTCAGAGATGGCAAAAAATTTAACACTAAGAGTTACAACCTCTTGTAATTCAATGCACAAACAATCTCCACCTTTGTTTACCTTGTTTTACTAAATTAAATTAATGTTTTTAAGTATTATATTCTTTAAAACTGATGTCACCTAAATTAAATGCTTAGTGTCACTTGTATGCAAGGACCTGCATGTGCACTGGAATAACATGAAAGAAAAGTCTGAGGCTGGCAAGGCGTAAACAGAAAGTCAAAGCACAAGTCCATCAGGATCGGTGTGGTGTTTAACATGTTACAAATATAAACTATCAATTATTAGTTTGGAGGAAATTTAAAGGAATAAAATTATCAATTACCCCCCTCCCCACACACACACACAAAAAGGCTTTGTACTCATTAAGACAAAGACAAGTATTTTAAATTATATATGCTGCTTCAAAATTTAGAGAAGAAGCATCAATAAAATAAGAAACAGCACATGCTGTTGAAATAAAGGCAAATCTTTACATTTTTCATTTTGTATGGTATTTTTATTTATTTTTTATTTATTTTAAATTACAATTTTAACACTACTGAAGTTCAGCAGAATAACTTTTAAGCAATTTTTAATTTAACTGTCAGTTAAATGTGGTTTTGAATTTTACTAATTTATGATGACTAGATTCTAAAATTATTATTTTTCAGTCACAAATATGCTGCTTCCTTTAATATGTAATATATAAATTTTAATCTCAATATATTGCATATTTTACCGACTTTCACAATGCCTGAACGAATCTTTAGCGAAGTTTCTTCTGCACACATAAAAGTCAGTTCAGAGCATTCAACACAGACTAATGGCATACATCTCAGAAGCAGAAAAAAGGTTTGAAAGCCATTTTTACATTTTCCTGTAGAATCAGACATATCAAGTTATCTTGTAACTAAATAACTTAAAGCTTTTGAAAAACGGGTACTTTTCCATTATTCACCTGCCATGTTTTTTTGGCTGTAAAAGCCAAACACCCGTTTTTGTAATTGTAAACAATTTCCAGTTATAAGAATAGTTTACAGATACAACATATTTATTCCTAGTTACAGTTGTTGGGTCTACTAATCAACATATTTCTAGTACAGTTGTTTGTTTTTGGCATATGTTTCTTTCACAGGTACATAACAGAAAAAACACTAATCATTTATCTTTGAAAATATATTCATTTAGTGTACCCAAATTAAGTGTTTTGGACTGACTATTCCAATATTCAAGCAGGATGCAAAGATTACAATCTTAAACAGAACTGGTATATAGTATACGAAATATACTTAAAACAATAATTTAATAAAGTATTGCATATATTAAACTACAGATTGCGTAAGTTTATATAGTTCTGTATTTCTTAAGACGCCATTGAAATACTAGTTTAATTTTTAAATCATTTTTTGATTTTAAATCCTTTTTTGATATCCTATGGATTTAACAATATGGGAATTGCCATGACGAAAAGTCGACAATAGAATTTTGGGTAAAGTGCAGAATCGCCCACTGCTTGACGCGTTTTTTAGAATTGCACATACTCGGTATCCATGTGCACATCGACCTATTTTCACTTTAAAAAAAATTCCCAGAATTGCACAAAAATGGCACTGCGCACACCCTTGACTTTATCTATGTACACATCGACCTATGTTCACTTAAAAAGTAAAAGAAAATTGACAAAAATCCAATTGCTTTTTACCCTTGTAAAAAGCGGCAAACAAGTAAGTGAGCGATTCTGCACTTTACCGAGAATATTTTCAAAGAAAAGGCATCATTCATTATAGAAAATTACGTTTGAACAAAAAATGAGATGAAATTATGCTTTAGCGATAAGTCAGTAGCGAAATAGCGATGCAGGCATCCATTCAGTTATGTTTAGCAATTTTTTTATAAATTATAATAATGATTGAAATAGTTATTGACTTATGTTTTCATTCAGTCCTGTTTAGCCTTTTTCATATAAATTATAATAATAAAAAAGTATTATATGAAATTAACCTTTCATCTAAATTAAAACATCAATCTTAAATAGTTATTTACTATTATACTTCCTTTCTTGACGCAATTATTAGGGTTGTCGCAATTATTTTTGGCAGCATTGGCATTAACAATAGTTTGGTGATTTTTTACGGCCCTCGAAACTGAATAGTACCACTATAACATGTTTCATAAGAGTTCTTTTATCATATGATCCAACAAATTTCATGTAAAATTTCTAAAAAAAAACAAAAATCTCACCTGCAAAGTAACATCACAAAATTGTTTGTTCTTGCGAAGCTTATTCAAGTTGTCAAATATTGTTTCCCGATAAGCAGTATCATCAAAGATAAAGATATTTGACTGTGGCACATCCTTTTGCTTTTCTTTTACTGCCATTGCTTCAACTGAAGGTGTTCTATTCATCACAAAACCGTTTACAGGAGAACTATGCCTGCAACATTAAAGTTGGAAAATCAGACTGTGAATGGTGTAATACATATTATAAGTAGTAGAACACACATTATGCTTCAATTTTTGTGTTTCATTACAACTTTTAATCAAAGTAAAAGAGATTAATCTATGAAATCTATTAATTTTTGCTAACTTTTGTAATAATACTTCTTTAAACAAAGTTTGAGTTTTCAGAAAAAAGACAACATATTCGTTAAACATAACAGGTCATTTCACATGAAATATTGCATGTGAGGATAAAATGATTTTTATATCATGAAACACTGCTAACTAGTATTAGTATACTGAAAGAAGAAATTTAAAGTGTATGTCCTTATAAAATTTTCTAAGTTCTTTATTGGGTACTTTTCTGTTAGCGAGATCAATCTGGTGCCCATAACAGGGAAGTAACCTTTACTCATATATGATCAGATCAACTAATCAGGAAGAAATGGATACTTTGCCAAATTGAAATGGAAGCAACAGAAAGCATCAATAGAACATTTGAAGATCACATGAATGAACAAACACTACAATATTGGTTAGACAACTTTAGTCTGCTGATATGATCTTTAACAATAAGTAGCATAGACCAGCAGCCAAAGATAATAACTAACTACAAATGTAAGTAGAGTTTCACTAAACTATAAGGGATACAATTCAGAAACTCAGCATACGGCATTCGACAGTTTTTCCATCACCTACTCGAATTTCAAAAAGTCGAAAAGGTTGATAAATAGGTTTTTCATGAACTCGCTGAAAAAGACTTGATATGTCACCTGGAAGATTGCACTTATCTGCTCTCCTGGAACATAAAACTTTCAACTGGATGGTGGAACATAATCTTCCAATGTAATGATGCATAATTTAACACATTTTGACAGGTAAATTTTAATCTAGTTACTGATGAGTAATAAAAGTTACTAATGTTACTAATAAACCTTAAACTAAATACACAAATTTCATCCTAACTGATAGTTTCTACACTCAAAATAGTATTTCAATGTTACAAGACTGATGCACACCCCATGATATTTATAATAAAAATGCACAAGATCAATAAATTCAATTGCTAATATTTCTCAGTTTAAGTCTTTATTAATTAATGCCTAATACAATTCATTCTCTTTCAAGAGGATGGACAGGATAGGATGGATGTTGAGAAAACAAAATAAAACTTCTCAAAGCCACTGTTAAACATATTGCACCATCTTAGAAATTCAGAATCTGAAGCTTTTCTGTTCTAGAATATAAGCAACAAATTGTTTACAATTAATTCCATTTCCTCCTCACAAACCTTCATAATTAAGGTATGACTTTTAATAATTATGTAGTCTAATTTAATGAATTTTTTTACCCTATTATGAAGGCACAGTCATTTATAATCATTGCAAAGAATTTGTGATATGTTTCATTTATATAAATAATATAAAATTTTAAAATATATTGTACTTATTATTTCAAATATAATATAAAATACATAGCAATAATATACAGATTAATTTGTCACAAGATGAAATTTTTTAACTCCATTTTACTATAGTTACTGTAAATGTATGAATTTTGATAATATATATTTTTGAGATCTCAATTTATTCATATTCATCAAAACAGAATTACTAAATCCTATACCTGTATTCAAAAGAAAGTTTATGAGATGTAGTCTGATGCAACTTAAAATAACACATATGTGCATTAAAAATGTGAGACATGGAAAGCAGAGGGGGAGGGGGGAAGAATGTATTCTTTTTAAAAGAAAATCTCATCTTAATATGCAGCTGAACCAGTTTAATGAATTTCCTAAGGAACTGGGAGGAGAAAAATATTAAGAAGATTCTAAAATAATTAAATAAAAGTTTAATTAAAAACTTCTTTCTTAAAGTAATATTTGTTATTCAGCAGAGAGCACAAAAAGTTCCTTTAATTTTAAAATTTTCTGCAAACTTTACAGTTATGTATAACAATAACAAACATTAACAGTTTATAATTCTATTACAAATTTATATACTGAGTATGGTAGAACACACTACTCCAAGACTAGGAATATTTTGGTAGTTCAGATAAAAATATGATTATTGGATTCTCAGAACTCTTTAAAAAGGGGAGGGAGGGGAAGAAGAAAAGAGAGAGAGGAGTAAAACGAATATATAAAAATATCCGATATTACCTATTAGAAGACGGCATAATGGATCGAAATAGCCACCAGATTACGTGAAGAAAATACACTTTGATGTTTATTTCAGCACAACTATAAGATTTGTAAATGGCACATATCCGTTAGGACTACTACAGCTGAACGTTAGACGTCGATCCGTGAACTTAATTACAAGCCGGCAAAGAAATAGGATTAAATACCCTATTCTGGCAACTTGTCCCACTTACACGTGTTACCGAACGCGCGGAGACATGTGCCAAGGAGAAAAAATATTCGAGCGGATGAAACTCGCCAAAGCAGCCAACATTTAAGATTCCTTTTCTAGATTAAAAGCAAACGACAAACTTTGCCTTGCATTTCGACACATATGCTAAAAGGCATCAAGGTATATGCCGGGTTAAGAGACAGCCTATGCGCCTGACGCCTAATGTGTCACCAAATATAATACAAATCAAAATATGTTCTAAACATCGTCATATTGATTAATATTTAATGCAACGCTCCTTGACTTCCTTATCTGTAATTTTAAATAAAATAAGTTATGTTTCCTATTAATACTATATTAAAGGGCCCAAGTAGGCAACTCTGCAGAGAGCACAAAAATACCTTCACCTCTGAAAATACCTTAATTGATCAATATTAGTAATTTCAAATAGCATATCAGTTATCAATCTTAGATCCATTTTAATTTTGATCGGCGCACACAAAGGTAAAAACATTCGAATCTCGATCTAAAGAAGTCGGATAATTTTCTTCACTTTAGGAATTCCCCGTCCCCGAAGAAAAAGATACAAAAACTATTAAGTTTCCTGTTTTTATAAACAAATATTTTGATTTCAATGACTGCTTGATTAAAGATATTACTCCGATATAAAAAGATCAATACTGAAAAAATATCAACACATTTTTCTTCCAAAAAAAAAAAGGGGGGGTGCAACAAAGGCAATACCTCCCGAAGGCACATACTCCTTCCGTGCTTTGCCATAGCCAAACAAACCAAACTTAAAAGTGAGCATCAATTTAACAGTTCCATTACTCATTATTTAAATTACATAAATGCTTCAAACACTACGGTAGAAGAATCGTTTGCTTTGCCCAAAACTGTACGGATGAACTACAGTTTCTGGATGTATCAACAATTGGATTAAGTTAAAAGTGATACGTAGAAAATTATTGGCCTGAAGACAAAAAGAATGGAAAGGAACTCTCAAAACTGCAACTTAAATTCAGTGTTTTGAATGAAATGAATTTTGTCAAAGATTTATGGTATCAAATAAACCACAATCAGTAACTGATTTTGAAGAGTTGAGATTTTTATTACGGGATTCAAAGGAATGCGATTTTTCCCTTATCAGGAAAACTGTTTCGGTCCGAGGTTCGAACCCCGCGAACGCGCTGATTGCATGGGCGTTTTCGTGGTTTTTTCCAGTTTCCCTTATATAGTGATCTCTCGCTTCCATGTAGTGTCTTAGGAGGAACACGTAAATAATAATTACACGATGGTAAATGAAGCAATGCATTTTAAGTTGATTATGAAGATAGAAAATAAATTACATTCGCATAAAATAGGGAATATCTAACATTTTTCATGAAACCATAATGAATCACTGAAAAAAAAGCGCAGATTTTAATGCAGTTATCTTCTCTAAAAATGATTCATTACATAAAAAATCGTATCAAGCACTCTATGTATATAAATTTTAAAAAACAAAGTAGAAATAAAAACAAAAAAGTTTAAATTACGTCCAAAGGGGCGTTTTTATAACATTTTGTGTGTAACCTTTTTTTATTAAATAACATGTTCTTCGCAATTAAACCATAAAATTCGCAATATCGCAAAATAATTTTAAAATGAGCATATCTTTAGAATTTCCGATACAGTCTCGCGCGCTGGAAATTTAAAAAAAAAATTTCGTACAGTGTCGCCATTGCTCGCTTTAAAATCGTTGAGTTTGTTAATCAAAAATTCGTTGAAGTGTTACAAAATATGAAATCGATAATAAAACTAATTTCAAATTCAAATTAGGGTTTCTACATGCCCATATTCTATAGAAGATTACGTTATTCAAATTTTGGTGGCTCTAGGTATCGTTGTTTTACCACAATGCGAAAAACATACATACATTCATGCTGATTCTTCATTATTTAATTTCTTTAAATATAATAAAGGACGATAATATTTCGTGGTCAACAATTTGAAAAGTGATTCGCCGTTTATAGTTTTCAATGCAAAATGCCAAAACGAAATTAATAGTCCTTCACGGCAAATTGCCCCTTTGGACTGACAAATGTTTGTGCACGAAAATTAATGAAAAATTCCCAGTGTACTACAGTAGATTAATGTTCGCAATCCCAGTAGACTCTCGATTAACCGGGTTATAATGGGGACAGCATCCATACCTGCGTTAAATTAAAAATTCAAGCTGCATACGGCATTACTTCTGATATATTGGGGGAAGTTTCAAATTTTCTCGAAAGGCAGAATTCCCGAAACTGAAATAATCAGTAGAAAGGACCTGACACACGGCACATCATCTGAGACCTACATACCCTTTAATGTATACTTCACAAATAAGACAGTTCGACTAAATATTGCTTTTAAAGAAAGAAGAAATGCAATGCTTATTTTCCTTCTCATCAACAAAATTTTAACACGGTTCAAAAATTTGGAAGATTCAATGTCGACATTCTGTAGCCGGCAGTCAACGTTTCTCGAGACTAAATCGCAAAGTTTAGCGAGCTTTCCGAATACTTTTGTTCCAGATTTGGTTTGGTTATTCTCAATACGGTGAACACGCGACGGCTATCTGTCTGAGGGGAGGGATGCTTTCATGGAGGTCTTTCTA